ACAGGAATGAAGACAGATGTGATTTGATTTTGGTTGTAAAACATTAAACAGTATAACGGCAGTAGTTCGCCAGAACGTGGCACACAGCGCCATCTGGTGTCAAAGTAAGCGAAGTTGGTGTACAAGTATATTTACTGTAAATATACACTTGACATATAAAAATGATAAGTCTAGACTTAATTATGAAGGCTTAATGCCTTGTCTTGCCTACAAATGTTTGTATTATGCGGAATTTGAACCCGCTATCAGTGAGTAAGTATCCTAGACCTCAGATATTCTCCCACAGAAGTTCTACTAGTTTTATAATACATGATATATGACACAGGTATTATTAGGTACATATATATTTTACTTTAGCTCGATATTTTTTTTGTTAGATGAAAGATTTGATGTTTGCATTGAATAGACACTTGAAACTATTGGACCGATTTAGAAATTCTTTACCATCAGATTCCTACATTTAAAATAACAACAAAAATATATAATACTGATAATATTATAATATACAAACTTCATGTGTGTGTGTGTGTGTGTGTGTGTGTGTGTGTGTGTAAAAACTAATATTTTTAATTTTTGTTAGAATAGAATAGAATAGAAAATCATTTATTCAAATAAACTTACATTGAAGCACTTTTGAATAGTCATTACATTTTTTTTTAATCTACCGCTCGTTCGGAAAGCTGTCTCACCACAAGAAGAACGAGCAAGAAACTTGCGTGTTGCTCTTTTAAATAATTTTATTATTACTTTACATTTTTAAGTTTAAGTGTGTGAATACAAACCACCAATTAGCACTAATTCAATTAAATGCTCAAAAAGAAAATTAATTATAAAGGAACGAAATATACCTAAATCACAAACCTAACCAATTTCATATACACACATAGTTACGTACTAGTATTCTAGGAATATTATTATCAATAAAAAAATTGCTTTCTCATTCTTCTTGTGATGAGACAGAATAAGTTGATTTGTGGATAAGCTGCAGATTAAAAAAAGGATAACTATGACTATCCAAAAGTGTTTAATTTAAGTTTATTCGAATAAAGAATTTTCTAGTCTATTCTATTTAAAAAAAATCACTACTCAATAAAACCATTGCACTTACTATGTTGCAACAAAATTCCGATGTTGGCCAAAGAGTATAAATATATCGTTTTTATGACATGGCTGCACTACTTTTAAGTTACATTTAAGTACATATACCCTCGTCTGTTTATTTTCATATATTTATTAGTACAACACAGTGTACGACATGTTTTTTTGACATAATTATGAATGGCTGTACGTGTCCCTTCCGTAGATTTATATAAAAAAACCGACGAATATCATCTTTACGGCTTCTGCGAATCCCATCCGTCGCAGTGTTTATGGGAAGGTGCGCGCACGCCGACGCCACCCTGAAACATATGTTTCCTTTGACAGAAAACAGCTGTTGCACGTTCTAGGAAACACTAACGCGTTCCAAATCGGAACTCGCCACGCGTGGAACCTACCCCTTTGTTATAGGGTGGAGAATGGTGCAGCAGCCATCAGCTCCCCCGAGAAAGGTAACGGCAATCAGCTGAGCGTGGTTCACGCTATTTCCAGTAAACAGGATGCGGCGCGTTTGAAAGCTCTCTCAGTCGTCCCGCACTGCTGGGGATATTATTTACGGTGACGTACACCGAACGTGTTTACCCCAAACAAAACAGCTGATCCGAGGCCACAGGCACTGAGCACATATTTCGGTGCAATGTGATTTTTGACGTGAATACTAATTTTGCTTTCATAGTGAGGGGCAATTAAAAAACTAATGACAACAAAATCGGAGGATACCCTTTGGTGTCGTAGCTACTTATATATAATGTATATACAAAATTAAAGGATTACACTGGATAGGTAATGAATCAAACAATTGGTTACGATGTTTGAGGATTGTAACGAATATATAAATATAAAAATTTATAATAAGATACCAAAGCATATATTGGAATTACCCTTAAATAAATTCAAAACATCTGTTAAATCATATTTACTGAGCAAGGCCTATTACTCACTAAACGATTACTTGAATGACGAGCGTGCATGGCAATAGTTTTCATGTTCGGGATTTTAATGTTAGACATAGACACCTGTATAAATACCTATCTATGCATTGTAAATAAACTGGCTTTTAAAAAAAAAGTTATTCAATTGAGTTTCTTGCCAGTTCTTCTCAATTGGATCTATATACAGAACTGGACGGTAGGGAAAAAAAATTATAATGTAAAAACTTGACGTTCATAAGCGGCTAAAATGTCCTACATGAATAATTATTTTTGAATTTTGATTTTTTTTTAAATTTTGAATCGTAGCGGGGGAGGGGTGAGCGTTGCTATTTTTAGGTAATTTCGCTGCGTCAAATAATTTCTAATTAGTATAAATTTGACTCCTGAACCCGATGAAAGAAAAATGTTGCTATCACAGTAAGTATCACATCACATCACACGTTAAGTATATTTACGTATTCACGTAAAACGGCTACGACCGTGTCCACGACACAGTCACAACCCGATTTTTTTATAGATAGATAAATTCTTTATTCAACATTTAATAAAAGAAATATAGGTGACACATAAAGTGCCGCAAAAGTGAAAAGTACCCGCGACTTCGTAAGTGTGGAAATTAACTTTATTTTTCTAAAATAAAAGTAGTCTATATTATTCCTTATTACATCAGCTACCTGCCAATAAAAGTCCCGATAAAATCGATCCAGCCATTTCAGAGATTAGCCGGAACAAACAGACAGACAAAAATTGTAAAAATTGTAATTAGGGTGTATGTACTGTATTTATATTCATATATGTAGTAAAAAACGGTTATTTTAATATTACAAACAGACACTCCATCAACTTCTTGTATCTCTATCTATTAAAGTTGTGTAGTTTTAAAGATTTGAGCATACATAGGGACGGACAGACAGCGACTTTGTTTTGTACTATGTAATATTATATTATCTGTGATGTAATGAAGAAAGTAGTACCTGTGGTAGTACGTAGTAAGTACATATGTAGTGTAGTGTAGTATAAATATAGCTCTAGTTGACTGACCTCCAAGCGGTTTCCCCAGGATACCATCGTGATAAATGTCTGAAGAATTTGTCACGATGAGCCTACTGACCCGACCTCATGCTCATCATATCATCCTAGGCGGGTGTACTATTCCATTATCATTCCAAGTAAATGGTAAAGTACGGATAGACGTTTGTTACTCTTTCACGCAAAAACTACTAAACAGATTTTAATAACACTTTACAGTAATATAGCTTATACATCAGAATAACAGATAAGATAAAAATTTTACACAATCGAAACCGCTGACTTAACTAGTAAAGTGGCTTAAAGAAATGAGACTGCAACCACAAAGAATATGGTAAATAATTACAACAAATAAAATGTAATACAAAAATGTTTATTCAAGATATACACAATGGGAATTGCTTAATTCTACTACATATTTCAGAACTTTACAATTGTGAAACTAGTTCTGACATATAATATATGTAACTAACTAGTCTTAAAGCTAACGATAATATCTATTTTCAATTCAGTCACATTATTAATTTTGATTCAAATATATTTACATTATATTGAGTATCATCACATACAACAATCCGTTCACCAATTGTTATTGTGACAAGGTACCAAAGTATTTGCATAATATCACTAATTACAACTCTGGCATACCGCATACGCAACCTCATTACTCGTTTATATTGGGCTAAAAACTTACTTTATACATCATATAAAAATATATAAGGTCCAGATTAGAGAGACAATATTACGTAGAATATCCAACGTTCTCACAGAAAAAGTTAGTAAACTGAAAAATTTAAAAACATTTTCATGTAAAGTGATAATTTTAAGTTTATTGAATTTACTTTAAAAAAAACTTGTATCTGATCTCCACTCCAAGTGATACAAGTAAAAATCTTTAGAAATACACATGTATGTACAGACGTCGCTTGAAGTTTAGATTTTATACATAAGGACATAATAATACTTCCTTAGTCATAATAATGTGCATATAACACACTTCATGAAATGTCACAAAGGAACATAAAAACTATGTAAATAATAATAACTAGAATAAAACTGTTAGAAAGTAGACTTTTATAACATTATTATTGGTGCCACAAAAATAATTATTCCCCTCCGATCGATCCCCGTCTAATTCAAACGGGGATCGATATTACGACGGCCTGAGCCGAGGTTCGAACCCCTAGCGGTACCCTCAGACTTAAGTCATATCCTTCAGGCGGAAGTTGGTCTTTAGCCGCTCCATAAGTCCTTCCGCGGGTTTGGTATGCCATCTGCACTCACCCCCTATCGTCCGGTGAAGCTGTAAAGGCCAGCTGCGGCCAACAGCATTAAAATAACATAATTATAGTTTATAAAAATATCATATTACAATCGTATTAATTATAAATGTGTGCGTTGTCATATCTTAAATTTTAATTGTGACAATTCTGTCATAGTCATATATATATATATAATTATTTTATTCACATGTTTATACATTACTTATATACGAGCTGAAGGGTCTGCCCGTGTAGTGTCCAATGACCCTGGCTTATCAAACAGATCACAGAACGCTGTGACATCACAAAGGAGTCAAAATAATAACATTCACAGCTCTTACGTAATCATATGGTGACATTCATGCACGCGTCACACGTTTCGGGAATAATACTTGTTACACATTGGTAAGAGAAATACTAGAGAGTGACCAGAGAGAGCAGCACTCAGACTTGTAGGTACATCTACCACCAATTTTTAAGTCACGATTACAATACTTGTCAAGACGTTAATTTTATTAATTTTTAGGACTAGAAAGTGTTTTTGGTGGTCGGACTACTCCAGGTAGTCAAATAGAGTTCACTATCTAAATTATTAACCGGGTCTTAAAACGAATAATTTTATGGCAAATAAAGGTATTTACCTCTCTAGACGTTTGCAGTCATAAATAAATTCAATCAAAGATCAGTAGCATCAACAGTCGATAAGTTGAACAATCTAGTGACTGTAGATGAAAAAACTGCTGTCACCTATCTACATTGACATCGCTGTTACTCCAGTCAGCTCGTGACCGCGGCTAGTGCAACCTAGTCGAAACGTTGAGAGAGGTAAATACCTATATTTGCCATAAAATTATTCGTGTTAAGACCCGGTTAATAATATAAATAATGTATATTAAACATGCAAGTTTACAAGAGCAGTACACGTCACAAGTGGACAGAGACGTAGCGAGCGCATCAGTGTAATTGTGGTCGGTCAGTGCGGCGCGGGGGAGGCGGCCGCGAGGGCGGCGTAGTGCGCGTAGGTGGCGTACAGCTGGCGCAGCCACGGGTGGAGGGCGGCGGCGCGGCGGCGGGCTCAGGACGGGCGGGGGCGGTCGTCGTCGGCGGGCTCCCCGGCCTCGCTGCTGGAGGAGCTGCCCGCGCCCTGCGCCCACAGGCTCGCGTAGCTCTGCTGCTCCGCCACCAGCGCCTCCTCCGCCTCTATCACCGCGTTGAACAGCGTCTTCTTTATCTTGATCTGCGTCGGGAACGGAAACCTCTTCGTCGACTGGCACATGCTGTTGAAGAAGATGTCGAGCGGGTCCACGGTCACCGCCGGCGCCTCCCGCTTCCTCTCCTGGTACTGCGCCTCCGTGAACTGTCGCTTGCTCTGCGCCTTGCACAGGTAGTCGAGCTTCCGGTCGATGACCGTGAGCTGCTCGCAGTTCTTCCTCTTGGGCGAGGACTCCGCCTCGGACTCCGACTCGTCGCTGGAGTGCCCGTCCACGCCGTTCTGCGCGTGGCCGTTGTCGGGCGCGGGCGGCGCCTGGAACCCCGACGACTCAACGGGCTTCTTGCGGTTGCTCATGTACGGCTGCAGGAACTGCATCAGCCCCATATACTTCCAGGGGTAGTTCTTCTTCGTCGGATTACTGGGATCCTTGGCCAGCATCTCGCTCTGTCTCTTGAGCGCGTCGCGGTAACTGTCGCGTAGTTTCTTCCATTTCAGTTTTACTTCTTTCACTGTAAAACGTAAATTAAATCATTATTAATTTCATATTTCATTTTTATTTTATTTTTCGGAAAACCAAGGCTATTTACAAACATAGTTGTAAACATAATTAAATGAGAACGGCCACTTATAGGTTCTCACGGATAGAAATGTTAATATATATATTTTTTTATTTATTTATTCATTTATTTCAGGCAACTAGGCCCATATTATAAATACCTTATAGACTAACATACATATAATATAATATTTAAAAACTAATACAATAATATTGTCTGTGTGATCACGGCACTGAAGACAGTAATCTGCCACGGTAGCGCCGATACACCACACCTTTCGGCCAGTAGTCCTCTTTCATGAAGGTGGGCAGTATAAAATAAATTACAGTACTAACACGAGAGGCGTGTTTGTGTCATAAACACTCATAAAATCATATAGTCACTCATATATTCACATCAATAAAATCACTCATAATATTCCCTGTTATATTACTATAATATCTTCAGACGTAGTAAGCGGAGGCGGGAAAGTAATGTATATTATTAAAAATACACACTACACAACAAAACAACATAAAAACTGATTTATAAGTTTTCAGTTAAAGACAGTTAAGTAGTTAAAGATCGTAAAATAACTGTTACAGCACGACAGTAACACTACTAGTGAAACTCGTTGACAAACTCGAATAAAGACCAAATATTTCCTAAATTAAATTTACATTAAAAACAAATAACATAATAAATGAATATTCATTCATTATATACATTTTTTATGAATGTATGTGTGGATTAATATTTATATTATATTTATGATACATAATTATTAGTTTTTTAAAATTATTATATTTATTTAATCTGTAAAGTTCTGCATTCCGGAATTAGATGCATTACGATTGTGCTATGTAATATTGCAAGTAACTGTTTACTGTGTTAGGCTACTAATCAATAATTCAATCATAGTAAACACCCAGACAGACAAACATTCATATCCTTGAACACTAATGTTTGTAGCACGTGAGGAAGCGAACCCGCGACCATTGGCAGTACCGGACCGAAACCGCCGAGAACATGTATGAGAGTAAAAAGTCCAACACTATATTCAACTCTAGAACCTGCATGTTTCTTTGTATCTACATTTTAGACATAATTAATTATTTAATTAAATTGCAAATTTGTAATAACATATTATACTAGCTTTTGCCCGCGGCTTCGCTCGCGTTAATTTATCCCCTTAGGGGTGGAATTTATCAAAATTCTTTCTTAGGAGATACCTACGTCATAGTAGCTTTATGCATGCAAAGTCTCAGCCCGATCGGTTTAAAATTGACAAAGTTTCATACAAACTTTCATCCCCTATTTTATCTCCTTGGGGGTAGAATTTATCAAAATACTTTCTTAGCGGATGCCTACGTCATAACATCTACCTGCATGCCAAATTTCAGCCCGATCCGTCCAGTGGTTTGGGCTGTGCGTTGATAGATCACTATGTCAGTCACCTTTAAGTTATATATATATATATATATATAGATATTTAATTGTAATTATGTATTAATTAAATTTATTTGCAAATTAATACAAACCACAGTGTATCCGTACATTGTAAGCAAGCGGTTTATCCCGAAATAGACCTACATACTAGCAATTATTAATATAAATAAATAATATTGTGTATTGTAAACGCGGAAGTTTGTGAGTACCTATGGATGGATGTTTGTGACTGTTTCACGCAAAAACTACTGAACGGATTTTAATAAAACCATACAATAACTAGCTGTTTCGGCAACCATTGTGTTGCCATATAAATTAATAACGCTATAAAAAATAGGGGTTGATGATAGAAGGGTGAAAATTTAGGGTTGAATGTATTTTTTAATGATATAATAATTAAATAGATATAAAAAAATAATGTTAGCGGAGGACAACCCTTATTACTTAGGGGTATGAAAAATAGATAGTAGCCGATTCTCATACCTACTGATATGCATATAAAATTTCATAAAAATCGGTCAAGCCGTTTCAGAGGAGTATGGTAACTAACATTGTGACACGAGAATTGTATATACAGGGGGGAAGGGTATTGTTAGTAGTCAGGTCGACCTCCACGCGGTTCCCCCTGGAAACCATCGTGTTAAATTCCTGGTGAATTTGTCACGATGGGCTAACTGACCTGACCTCATTCTCATCTTATCATCCTCCACTGGTGCCCTGCCAGCGTAAACCGTTAGCGCAGGCGGGTGCACCATTCCATTATCATGCACAAAAAAAAATTGTATATACAAGAAGATATAGATTATACATCTACTTACATAACATATAGTATATATAATTTCATGCGTTTGAAATCACGAGCACAGCTAGTAGTTTTTTTTTATGGATGATAATGGAATGGTGCACCCGCCTGCGCTAACGGTTCACGCTGGCGGGGCACCAGTGGAGGGTGATAAGATGAGCATGAGGTCAGGTCAGTTAGCCCATCGTGATAAATTCACCAGGAATTTATCACGATGGTTTCCAGGGGGAACCGCGTGGAGGTCAACCTGACGTGGTACATTACTAGTAATAGGTCATGAGTCCTCGTTACTAACAACCCCCCCCCTCCCACCCCACAGCTAGTAGTTGCATCATTTACACATTTAATGGCCTTTATAGTTACAATAATATTCTATATTTGATAGCTGGAGGCACTTTGTAATGAAGGGTGAGATATGACAAGGGTAGTCATCACGCGAGTAGCACCCCTACTGTTGCAGGCGGCAGGCGGCAGGCGGCCACGCGGCGCGGCACACCTACCCACCGACCGGTGCTTGTTTGACATCATCCATATATGAAACGTACTCATATATACGATAGCCTCGGTGGTCTAGCTGTTTAGCCACCGTCTTACTTCCGATGGTCGCTGGTTCGATTCCTCGCACGGCACAAACATTTGTATTCATTATTGCTTGTATTAATCTGGGTGTTTTCTTTGTATAATATGTATGTATTTACGAAAATAAAAATATCTATGTACTTGTATCAGTTATCTAGTACCAATAACACAAGCTTTAGCTAGCGTAACTTGGGTCTAGATGGCGCTGTGTGAATTATTATTATTGTTACTTAGTTAGACAAAAGTTAATAGTTATTAGAATATTATGATACGTCAGTTACAATACAACCCTATAGGGAACTAGTTAAGGCCGCCGAAAGGCCAAGAAGAAAATGGAATATGTTTTTTTTTAAAACCAGATTGAAATATAAAATATTCATTCATACCCGGCAGCGGATAAAATGAATGTAATCGTATATTTAATTAAACTAAGTGACAGAATAAAAAAATATGACTATTCAAAAGTACTTATTATTATTAAGTTAATTTGAATGAAGTTTATTTCTATTTCTGAATTAAAAGAAACAAGTTGCATATGCCACAATGTGAAATGTGGGCATCGTAACTATAGTCCGACACAACATTATATTGTGAATGCGGTGCGTGGAGCGAGCTCCGCGGGCGGACGGGGTGCGGCGGGTGGTGAGGGGGAGGGGGGGAGGGGACAGGGGGCCAGCGGGGGGAGGGACGGACGCGAGACGTGTGTGAGGCGACGCGCGACGCGCAATGGCGGCCGGCGACTCGAACCTCAGCACCGCCGGCGACCGGCTCCAGGCTCCCGGCCAACGGCTACAGGCGACTGCTACTCACCAGACGAGAGGTCCGTCTCCTTCATGACCTCGGCCCAGGCGGCGTCCTTGAGCTCCTGGTCGCGGTACTCGATGGCGGTGGTGTTCCACAGGCACGGGTACTTGCGCACGGTCTCTATGAAGTGCTCCATGGCGCGCGGGCTCGGTGCGGGCGGTGTGGAGCGGCGGCGGCTCGCGCGGCTGACTGAGCGTGGCCGCCGCCCGCGGGGCCCCCGCACCCGCACCGCACGCCGCCCGAACACCGCACGCCGCCCGCACGCCGCACACCGGCCGCGCCGAGCCCGCGCTCCTCACCCGCCAACAATTACCCACTCGAGGAAATATTACGCCACGCTCCACCGGTACACAAGTATCGCGTACTTCGTTATAAATATCAGAGTACAAAGACAAATAAATACCTACTTAATTTGTTTATTAACATTACGGCATTACAACTGAACGGCTACACTACAACAAACAACTTAACTACTGATTACTCATATACTAAGGAATCTAAATATATCTACATATAATAAAAACAAATCTAAACCCGAGCATTACACATATAGAGTAAAAGCTATTTAGTTCGTAACTATATATTGTATACAGACAGTCGACACATGGTAGTCGTCTGTCTGTGACAAATGAAAGTCTATTGTCCTACATACATCCTGTTTTTTATGTTTACCACTGCACGTAGTAGATATCAACTGCAAACTTACTTGACTCGAGTTGTCGAGCGGTGTAACACGTTGCATCTAAAGGTCGAGAGTTCGATGCTTCGCACGAGTAAAACATTCATTGTATTCTTTATTATGTTTTTTTGTGTATTATTTATTTACAAATAAAGTGTGTTTATGTATTTCTGTCAGTTAGTACCCATACTACAGTCTCCATTTAATTTTAGTATGTCTTGTTTTGCATTGTTGTTAATAATCTAATTTAAAGTTAATGTTATTTTATTTTATATTATTGTAATGAATAAATTACATAATTATTAATTTATAAATATATGTACATCATTTATTGACACAAATTGGAAATAAAATCTATAAATACTTTAATATCTAGTCGTGTTAATTAATAAGTTAATTATTCTTGTTTTTAGAAATAGTGAATTAAAAAATATCCGATTGTTTCTAACTGCACTACATATTAGTATTTTATGATGTTAATAGTTTATTAGCTAATATAGTGTAAAGTGAAACACTTTATCTCGTCGACATTTCAGCTGAATAATCCTAGCAACAACTTTATAAGACTCGCATCAATAATAATAAAAATAGAAATAATCTTTACCCAAATAAACTTAATATAAGCATTTTTGAACAGTCACATTTTTTGGTTATATCGATCATTTAGAACGTAGACTCATCACAAGTATAACAAGAAAGAAACGTGCGTGTTGTTTTTTAAATAAACGAGGTTCTAACTAAATACACATTAACAAGGATTAGGCATGCCAGTCAACATAGAAACTGCTACGCACTCCACACTTCGCAATCGACTCAGTTCTATTATCTAATTCCCTAAGACACGATGTTTTTCCCATTAGTTTCATTAATACTGCGCGCTGTGTACATGTAACATTAATTTCTTGAATCGAAGAGGTCTACAAAAAGCACCCAACTATAGAGTTCCACGGCACTTCCTCCGGGAGGAAGTTTCATTTCCGATCCGGCCGGAGGTCGCTTTATGTTATGTTTTTTCTATAGACAAAAAATAGAGCACCTCTGTAGGCATTTTTGATAGAAACCGGTGTAATGATGAGCTGACACTCAGCGCTGTTTGTATGAGAACAAAAAGAAAGTAGATAAGTATTTTGATTGATAACAGGCCAACAGGCCCAGTTCATAACGTAGGAGTGGTCTAACAATTTAAAGCACTGACTTGGAGCATCAATAGGTCTCCGGTAAACATGTGCCGTGACAACCTCTCACGAACTGGTGACAGGGTTTTTTAGGGAAGACTAGACCAGACAAGTTAAATAGAGAATTTTCCTACAAATAAAAGTAGCCAAGTTACTCCTAATTACATCAGGTACCTGCCAATAAAGTTCCCGTCAAAATCGGTTCTGCCACTTCAGAGATTAGCCGAAACACACAGACAGACAGACAAAAATTGCACCCGCCTGTTATAATGGTTTACGCTGGCCGGGTACCAGTGGAGGATGATAAGATGAGCATGAGGTCAGGTCAGTTAGTCCATCGTGACATATTCACCAAGAATTTCCAGGGAGAACTGCGTGGACGTCAACCTGACATGGTACATTGCTAGCAATAAGATCATCAATCCACATTACTAACTGTCCCCTTTCCCCCTCCTGATTGGTTTATATAGGTACATAAATACATACATTCAGACGCATAACAATAAACAAACATAGTAATGTAGGTCCGCACTTTGCTTTGTCAGTACTGCGCTAAATGTAATAGGAGACATGCATACGTTTCGCTGAGTATATTTGAATCACAGATAACATAATAAATTGAATGTAAAGTAGCAGGTAACGACCCTACCGCAGTCTCTCTGACTACATTCCCTGAAACGGATTACTATACGAAGATTTGTATCGAAGAATCGAGAAGTAGTTCATCTGCTAAAGCAGGCACATTTTTTCTTATTCATATTTGATCAAGTCTGTTCATTTTTTATTGTAAGTCTGCTGAATAAAATTAATCAACAGTTTCAGTTTAGCAGAAGTGTTTCTAATTTATTTTGGCGGGTTTGCGATGTTTCCGTCACCGGAGAGTCGTTTAGAAATATATATAGAATACGTGATAATACATATATTTTTATGTGTTATTCAGATTCGAACTATCGGTTAAAGTCGCGTAGTTAATGACCAGGAGTCCAGGACACAACGCTCTCACATGTTATAGTTGTCTACGTATCCTCTCGTATATACAGATGTAAGGGATTGTTAGCGTTATAGGAGTGTAAGTGGCTGCAATAGGTATGTAAGTACGGTAGACTCTTGTTCGAGGCACCCCTTGGCAACAGTCAAAATCAGCTGGAGCCTGCAGCCACGGCCACGGCCGCGGCGCGCGCACCACACCCCTCACACCGCAACCCGCACCCTGCGCCACGCTCAGCTGGTCCTCACCCTTGCACACCGGTACAGCCGTCCCGTTCACTCTACAACCCTTTATCACCTATCGCATTCACATCCTTTATGCTTTTGTTGTACTTACGATTCTGTAATTAATTTAGGTCGTTTCTAAATAAACTTCTACACAGGTAGGTACACGGAATTGCGAAATATTTGCAATCGGATACCGTTGAATGTTTTTAATTTGAAGACTTCAAGGGAAGTAAACACCGGCGGCCGGCGGTGCGCACAGCTGTTCCCGATCGATGCACTTCGCACAGCGCCGGCCCCCGCCCCCCCGGCCCCGGCCCGCGCCCCGCAGTGGCCCGCACCCTGCACCCTGCAGCCTGCACCCTGCGCCCACCCTTCAACTCACTACAAGCGCCGAGACGCCGCTGCGCTTTCATCCCGATATATTTTCAATAGGGAACATGCATAAATTTTAATTTTAACATTCGATAATTTATCTAAATACTTATATATAACTTAAAAATATATATACAACATCGAAAAAGTGTTTAAAGTGTTCCTTACATTAATAATTTCACAGTCCGCCAAATTGCACTTGATGTAATGTATCCTTTATATAAAATCAAAAGATATGCAGAGGTTATAACTCAGATGGAAGGAATATAGTGCTTAGCTGCAATTTTACAATTGTTTCTATTTTCAACTAATATACTTTCTATTGGAAATCCCATTTCATTGCTTTTTTTACTGTTTCATAAACCTAATCTTCATGAAACAATAAAAAAAGCAATGGAATTTTTTTTTAACTTTACAAGATATAAATTTAAAAATGTAGAAGATTAAATATACGTAATTACTCCTTTTATCTCAACAGCCTTGAAATTATTATTTGATACAAAAAATGCGGTTATCATATACTACAATTTAATTGATAATTTATCTGATTGTGTTCACAAAACCCTTGTTGGTAATTTTCTAATGCTCTTACGTTATCTTTACATAGTATAAATAAAGTCCATTCCACTATCTGTTCGTTTAGAACTACACAACAGATTAAAATGAAGTTTTTAGCAAAAGATAGTGATTCAAGAGAAATGTTATTATGTATAGTTCATATACACCCGTGCGAAGCCGGCGCGGGTAGCTTGTTTATTATAAATCTAAATGTAATTTTAATTAATTACACCCCATACGAACTCTGTTTCATTCAACTGAGATAACTAAAAAAGTCTAGGTTTTCAGGAAATGGCGCCCCGCCAGCGTAAACTATCAGCGCAGGAAAATATCCTTGAAAGATTTAATAATTTGTATCTTTCTATCACAAAATCTAATTTCTATGAGAAATATTAATTTTTCATGAGCAAACACAATTAAAATTTCATAAGCAAGCGTAAAGATTTGTGTTTTTTACAGGTAAATAAGCCTGTAAAAAAACAAATCTTTATACAATTTGGTAGAGCCTCGACCAGATTATACATAAAATAAGATACTTGTTTAGTGCCATCTGTACGAAAAATACTGAACTAGCTTATTATCGTTTAATATCCCCGCAAGCACACGTTTACAAACTGTCACAACATACACGTAGATGGCACTATAACGAGTAAACTTGAAGTCTGACATTAGTCTAACTCAATATCCTCCATCTGTCATACAGTCATCTAAAGTTCTACGAACACCCTTGTTTTTTGTAAATATTAATATTAAGATATAGTAATAATTTATAGGAAAAATCTTCTTTAAGATATCTTGATTATTTCATATCCAAGAAAAGTGAATGACTGTAATGTGTGCGTGTTATTGTGAATCCTCTGGGAGTATAGATAATAAATTTATGTGAAGCGATCTGCTGATGTCTACGGACGCTCTGTGTCAAGAAGAAGACTGGTGAGGAGTGCTGGTGGATTCTGTCTGTAAGCTGGTGAAATTAAGCCTTATTATGGAGGGCAACGGGGACCCTGACCAAGAACGTTCACCGTGAGTACATCATTACATTGTACTGTTTACCTTTGTTAATCCCAGTAAGTACTAGATTAAGTCAGTGCGAGGCCTATACCTAACTATTTTAAAAGATCCATGGTTAGGTTTCGATTAAATTTTTAAGAAGAACTCTAAAACGATTAATCATTTAATTGGTTTTGACTTTGTTTAAACAAAAAAAAGTTATATTATTTTTGTATCACGTCCAGAAGTTGGTGTGAGGTGGGATATATGGGTGATGGTGATAATAACTTGTGGTGAAGATTTCTGGTGAATGTCATGTTATGATGGGCTAACTGACCTGTCTTCATGCTCATCTTATTATCTTTATTTTTAAACTTTCGTGTTTAAAATACATTGTTTATATTATTAACTGGGTCTTAACACAAATGATTTAGGTATTTACTTCTCTCAACGTTTCAACTAGGTTGCACTAGCCATGGTCACGAGCTGACTGGTAAATACCTATATTTGCCTTAAAATTATTAGTTTTAAGACCTGGTTAATAATGTAAATAATTATCTTGTCATCCTCCATTGGTGCCCAGCCAGCGTAAACCATTACTGCAGGCAGGTGCACCGCTTGGTAGTGAGTGTCTGGAGTTTAGTGTACAGCTAAAATATTTGAATTACTGCCCAATTATCATGTTTATTTGATTTAACATGTTAATTGCCACAACAATATCAGAAATATTTTCACATGGGCCCTGGTAACTTTATTAGATAATGTAGTTAAAAATATATCAAGGAAATGTGTTAATGTATCACAGAAAAATTTATTTTTACCAAAATTCCTGTGAAAACTCTAATTTTTATGTGACATATATGAGCCTATATTAAAACTTTTTTTTATTCTCAACAAGCCATGTCAGTCTTATCTGTCTGACGCATCCAAACAAGATACAACAAGCATTAACCTGTTGTTTTGAACACAGCACCTTCTACCATATCACATACGTCAGACATATATGTCTCACATGACTCATGTAGAACTTCTTAGCATCAGACACATATGACATGGCGATTAACATGTCAATGTTTTTATATGGGTTTATGATTGATGCAACACTCAAAACTGCAATTAATAAATAATTTACTGCAGATATTTCTCTAGTTATCTGTGATTTAATAATAACTGCTGCAGTAAAGATATTGTTTTATAATTAGCAAATGAAATAAATTTTATCTTTGCAATATTTATATTTATGTTATTGAATTCAAGCCAATACCTACTTAATTTAAAAGATATTCATTTGGTATGAATAATTGAAAAATAATGTTATGTTTTAGTATTATTAGTAATGGGACACAGTTACATAAATCAAAATAATAATTGTAATTAATTATGTCTAGTAAGACAAATCCAATATTGTGTACTAAGCACGGCCGTGTCTAAACTGTGTCACCCCACCTTACATCCTCCATTATCGTTTAGTATATAGGATCAATATTTTTATCTACATAATGTCAGTCTATTATCATCTTTAATATACATCATCTCAACCAACAACATCATATAATACACCCGCAACATTAGTGATACATTGTCAATATTATGGATTAAAACACATATTTTAGAAACATGTTTTTTAATATGAATGCTTGTATTGAGGCTTACATGGAATCATTATGTTTGAGTACCCTACATATTTGACTTTTTTGATAAAAAGTTATATTGAGGGTGACAATAAAAGACACACACAATTATTGTTATACAACATACCTTTCCCTCAAGCTTAACACTAATATTAACAACTCTTGAAAAAAATCAACAATGTATGTATCTATTTACAATCTATCATAAGGGAGTTTAGAATGTCCTTTGGGTTTGTTTCTAATCTTTCCCACATTTGATGTTGATGGTATTCCCAGCATGTCCGCCCATTGGTCACAACTGGGTATCTCAATTATATCTTGCTCCTGCACTGTTTCCCATGTCTGATCTTCACCTAAGTTTTCATTTGTCAATTCCTGCTCTACTTCTGCTTCCTGTTCTTGTATTTCACTTTCTGTCCCCTGTGTTCTTAACTCTTCTGTCTCTGTGTCCTTAAGTGTTACCAATTGATCTATGTGTCTATGCATACACTCTCCATTTTCTGTTTCTATTCTATAGCTAGAAGGACCCTCCTTCCCTATTATTGTTCCAGATTTCCACTTTTCACCTTCAGCATAGTTCCTGTACATTACTTTCTTTCCAACTTGAGTTTCACGATTCTTCCTATTTGCATTATCTATAATCTGATTTTCTGTCTTTCTGTAATGATTGATATTTGGGTGAACAGTGTCTAATAAAGTCCGCAGCTGTCTATTCATCAATAATTCGGCTGGACTTCTCTTAGTTGATGTGCAAGGCGTACTACGCAATGTCAGCAAAATTCTTGGTAATTTTACTTCCCAAGGTACATCTGTCATCTTTTTTAGTTTATTTTTTAAAGTTTGAACCATTCTCTCGGCCTGCCCGTTGGTGGCGGGATGATATGGCGCTGTCCTAATGTGTTTTATTTTGTTATCCACTAAAAAGTCCTCAAAATCCTTTGACACGAAAGATGTGCCATTATCTGATACCAATGTTTCACAAAGCCCGTGTTGCGCAAAGATATATCGTAAATGTTTGATAACAATGCTAGATGCCATAGAATTTACAATGTGAACCTCAGGCCATTTCGAATATGAGTCTACTACTATCAAAAATATTTTATTTTGAAAAGGTCCTGCAAAATCAACATGAATACGGGACCATGGTCTAGCAGGCATAATCCATTCATGTGATGATCTTGTTGGCATATTTCTATTTTCTAAACAGGAATGGCAGTTGCTGATCATCTTCTCTATATCTCTGTCCATTTGTGGCCACCATACATAACTCCTAGCCAGAGCTTTAGTATGTACTATACCATTATGAGTTTGGTGTAATAGTTTTAATATGTCCTCTCTAAGTTTATTTGGTAATACCACACGACTTCCCAATAAAATACAGCCATCTTGTATACTCAACTCCAAGCGATGTAACCAATATGTATGTAACTCTTTATCTGTAATTTGGGCTGGCCACCCTTTTAAAATGAACCATTTTACTCTATGGAGAGTTGGATCTACAGAAGTTGCTCTTTCAATGTCTTTTGGACCAAATGGCAAGTCATGTGGTGTTTCTGCTATTAAGAGAACCTCCCCTGGAGTATCAATATCTTGAGATGATACTGGCATTGGCCAGCGGCTAAGTCCATCAGCATTACTAATTTCCTTACCACGTTTATATTCAATTTCATAATCATGTGCTGCTAAGGTCAAACATATACGAGTCAATCGTGGTGAAAGAATATCTGGTATTTTCTTCTTAGTCCCAAATATTCCCAGAAGCGGTTTATGGTCCGTTATAATTGTAAATCGACGACCCATCAAATAATTGTCGAATTTTTTAATCCCAAACAGAATTGCCGTGGCCTCTTTATCTAATTGAGAATATCGTCTTTCATGTGGGTGTAGTGTTCTTGATCCCATAGCTATTGGTTTCTCATCACCATTATCCATAATATGGGCCAGAACGGCTCCTACCCCATAGTCTGATGAATCACAAGTTAAAATCAGTTTCTTCTTTGTGTCATAGTGTGTAAGACAGACATTTGCAAGTAAGCTTTTTGCGGTACTAAAAGATTGTTGTTCCTCTTTACTCCACTTCCAATCCTGCTTTTGGTCCAACAATCTATGTAGTGGCTCCAAAACTGTTGCTTTGTGAGGTACAAAGCGTTCATAAAAATTATATAATCCAAGGAATGCTTGAAGTTGCTGAACATTCCTTGGAGGTGGCGTGTTTATTATTGCATTAATTTTACTTTTTGCAGGGTGTATACCCTCGGCATCTATTAGAAATCCCAAGAATTCAACTTGCGTCTTTGCAAACTTACACTTGTTTTGATTAAGCTTTAGTCCCTTGTTTGTTAAACGTTGCAGAACAATATTCCGTCGAGTTTTCATTTTCTCTAGTGTATGACCAGTAATAATAATGTCATCGAGCAGAACAGCAACTCCTGGGACATCTGCAAGTAATGCTGTCATTGCTCGCTGGAAAATACCTGGGCTGGCTTTAACACCAAATGCTAGTCTATGTACTGAAAACAGACCTTTGGTTGTATTTAATGTCAGTAGTTTTGATGTCTGTTCATCAACTGGCACCTGTGTGTACGCTCGATCCAGGTCCAAAGTTGTAAAAAATCGTCCTCCTGCCAGGAGCGCAAAAATTTCATTAGCAGTCGGCATCGGGTATGTATCCGATTCTGTAGCTTGATTCACTGTGCTTCGGTAATCACCACACAATCTAATGCTGCCATCTTTTTTACAATGGGTACTACGGGAGTTGCCCATTCTGAATACGGTATGGGTTTCAATACACCGTCTTTGACCAAATTGTCTATCTCTTGTTCTACGCGATCTTTCAGAGCATATGGTACTGGTCTCGCCTTTATAAATTTAGGGACAGCTCCTGGGACTAAATGAATTGCTACAGGCTCTCCTTTGTAGGTACCTAAGCCATGTGAAAAAATATTTTTATATTTATTTAGTAAGTCTTCACACTGTATGCCCTCATGCTCTATTAAATTTATATTATTTATAGAAATATTTAGAGGTTGAAACCAGTTCCGACCCAACAAATTAGGGCCTTTTCCTTTAGCAACAATAACTGTTAATGGACATTGCTTATTATTATATGTCACATCAACATCTAATTGTCCTAGTAAGTGCAGTGATGTATTTGTCCATGTTGATAAACGTAGAATCATTGGTTGTAACTTATTCCTTAAGTATTTAGGCAATTTTTCAAATGTATTTACATTTATTATTGAATATGATGCCCCCGAATCTATTTCCATTTTTGTCTCGCAACCATTCAATAAAACATCAACCTGTATAGGCAGTATCCTCTGTAGATTATTTATATTATTCACACAATATATACCGTTAAGTGAATCATTATTCTGAATATTCGAATCTTCCTCAGTTGTGTAACGGATATTCTGATTTTTACGTTTCTGTGTACAAATTTTTTCTAAATGCCCAATTTTTTGACAAAAATGGCATTTAGAGTTCACATGTCGACATGTACCACTATGTTTATCACCACATCGATAACAGAATCTGTATCTATTATTGGTGGTATTTTTGTCACGTATGGCACCAATATCCATTGGTTCAAATGTTGAACTGGATGTACTTGGGGTCGGCTGCACTGCACGCATCATTGTGACGTCACGATGTGCTGTTTCTGCTGCTGTTAGACAATCCACCACTTCCTTGTATGTTAAGTTGTCTCGTTTCAGTAACTCAAATTTCAATTTCTCATCTTGCATCCCACATACTAAACGATCACGAAGATTTCGTTCCAAATTACTAAAGTTACAATGTGCAGCTATTTTCCTCAATTCTGTTAAGTAATCGAGCGCCTTTTCGCCTTCCCTTTGGTTGCGGTTGTAAAATTTGTAGGACATGGTGATTTCATTAGATTTAGGTGTATAATGTTTTGTCAATAAATCAACCACATAGTTAAAACTGACTTCATGTGATTTTCTTGGTATTATCAAAGCTAGCACCGTTTCAAACACCTCAGAGCCACAAATTGTATAGAAATTAGCAAGTTTCACATTATCGTCGCAAATTCCATTTGCCACAAAACAATAATTTAGCCTATCTATGTAGTGGCTAAAATCTTCATTCCCGGGTCGGTACTCGTGGAATTTAATTGCTTGCATGTTTGTACATTTATTATCACTATAAATTTATCACTCGTCGCCAATATTATGGATTAAAACACATTTATATTTTAGAAACATGTTTTTTAATATGAATGCTTGTATTGAGGCTTACATGGAATGATTATGTTTGAGTACCCTACATATTTGACTTTTTTGATAAAAAGTTATATTGAGGGTGACAATAAAAGACACACACAATTATTGTTATACAACAGTCAACAAAGAATACATAATATTCCTTTGTACTATTGGGCAGAATCATTAATGTATAGAATAAAACAAAGTTCAAAAATAATTGTTTGTTCTTTTAATACAAACCTATTCAAATACACTTACTAATTTCAAAGCTACTTACTGTCACATTATCTGTGAGTACTATTTAAATGTATAAAACTCAAAGGTGACTGACATAGTGATCTATCAACGCACAGCCCAAACCACTGGACGGATTGGGTTGAAATTTGGCATGCAGGTAGATATTTTGACGTAGGCATCCTCTAAGAAAAGATTTTGATTAATTCTACCCCCAAAGGGATAGGAGATGAAAGTTTATATGAAACTTTGTTAATTTAAACTGATCGGGCTGAGACTTTGCATGCATAAAGCTACTATGACGTAGGCATCCCCTAAGTAAGGATTTTGATAAATTCCACTACTAAGAGGATTTAAGGAATTAACGCGAGCGAAACCGCGGCCAAAAGCTAGTATGATATATTCCTTGAGGGCAGTGCTGCATTGATGTTGTTATTGTTATATTATTCAGAATCAAATCAACAAACTGATCAATTACTGTTTCCAATACAATTAATGAGAGCTAAAGACAACATCGGTGGTCTAGCGGTCTACGTCCGATGCACACCGCTTTACGTCCGGTGGTCGCGGGTTCGATTCCTCGCACGGCACAAACATTTGTATTCATGAGTGTGATTGTTTGTATCTGTCTGGGTATTTTTTATGTATGTATTTACGAAAAAAAATCTATGTATTTATATCAGTTGTGTAGTAACTATAACACAAGCTTCAGCTAGCTTAACTAGGGTCTAGATGGCGCTGTGTCAATTGTCCTGAGATTATTATTATTATTATAAAGACATAATACTGTTGACGTTCTTTGTAACATTGTTACAGATTGGATGTGGACAACAGCGCTGCCGAAGGTGATGTGGACCGAGGCAGGTACAGGTGTGTGGTGACATGTTACACAATCTGACATATTTATAAAATAGCTAAATGTCTCTCGAGTCTAAATAGTTATAGAATTATATAATATAATTTTAGTTATTATTAATATTCTTGCATCTAAACTCAATACAACAGTATTGAGTTCAGATCGGAATCAGTGATTAATAATGTGAAGGTAGCAATAAAAATGTTTTATTCTTTTTGTGTTCCTTTTATTGTAATGCTTTTTTGTGTTCATTCACACACATATGTGTCGCATGTCTGTCTGGTCTTATATTTTGGTGTATGGTCGTAAATGTACATTCAATTTATACTTTCTGTTGTTAGTCAGACTTGTGTACGTAAAATTTCTTTACATCTACCTCCATTTGCAGTGAACCAATGACGGGTTGTTTCTAACAGTATCGAATCTTGCTATTTTGATGTCAAAGGTGCACCACGCTCGGAAAGGCCGGTTGAAGGTAATAAGGACGCGATAAAGGCATTGGTTGATGCGAACCTTCGAAAAACAACACGTGAGATCGGATTGAGGTTACATTTATCAAATTTAACAGTTTATGACCACTTGAAAGGCCTGGGAACTATTATAAGTGTTGTTATTCGCCGGTTCCCATCAATGAATGCCTTTATCGCATCTTTATCAGCTTCAACCAGCCTTCCCGAGCGTGGTGCACCTTTGACATCAAAACTGCCGGATCGAAATTTAGCGAAGCAGTTCTGGCACTGGCGTACTGTTAACACACCTTCTCCACACACATCGGTCAATTTATTTTTGACTTGAACAGCATTTTTGCCCTTTCTGTAGTAAAACAGTAAGATATGTCGAAAATGCTGCTTATCGCTCTCCATATTTAAAAGGACACCAACCAAAACTACTGCGTAGAATTAATTAGAATGTTTCACACACAAGCCTTGCTATATGAACTCTCAAAGCATATAAAAATTAAACAGTTTAAGTGTAAAGTTGGGTGCAAAAAATACAATTCAATCCTCTGTTAGGAAAAAACGAAATTAGATTCCGAACAACCTAATATATACCAAATAGTCTGACAGTCACAGAAATAAAGTAGACGAGAAAGAAAAATTATGAAAGAGAACAGAGAGAAAAGAAAACGTTACAATTTCCTAGATAATACTTAAATAAACGAAACCTGAGCTCAAGATGAAATTTATATATCAAGTAGAAATTTTCTAGTTGTACGAATACGGTGACGGGTTTTGTCCCCATGGAAATAAAATTTAGATACTCTTAATATAATCAGGAGAATTTGGATGGTATGGAATGGAATAGAGAGTAGCATATGTGTATTTCTACGATAGCGGATAGGTAGCCATTTAAGCTGTGAATGATAATATAATCGAACATGCGGAGATTAAAAATTAAACGGATAGAGTTGTTGAGATGACGATTCAATTTGTTTAATAGGGCTATATTCATGTCAGTCAAAGCGAACACACATCAGCATAATCAAGGGTGGGAATGATTAAGCATTAGATAAGAAGGATTTTAAAATAAAAATAGGACATTTAGGCCACGATGTTATTTCAGCCAAAGAAGTAGATTTCAGAGCATCACTCAATATGGAAACGGTGTAAAATTGCCTGTTTAGGTTATTTAACGAAATTTGTAGATGAAGATGAGGAGTATCATCAGACTGTTTTCAGAGTCCATGTGACTTAAGAAACTTCCAGGCCAAAGAGTTATTTGGAATGTTCGAGTGGATGTGACCGCGTTTAGCACCTCTTACAGTATAGTTGCGGCGGTTGCGCGCAATTTTGAATGACCTCCAATTCTTTACACAATGATCCCATTCATAAATTCTAAACGCACGATTACGCAAAGCCACGTGCACTCTTAAAGTTATCCAGAGCTGGCTATCTTTTAACTCTGACAAGGTGAGCCGGAGCATGTCTGACAAAGATTTGGAGTACAGACTTAAAAACGAATACTTTATCGTTTATTGAAGAGGCGGACAGTATGCATGGCCAATCAAAATCAGTTAAATCCTTCTCCAAAGTGGACTTGTCAATTCTAGCAAAACTACGTAGACGAACGACGGTAGGCTTAGGTTTTTATGTTGTAGGAGACAGATAAGATCGTTCCCGGAGAATCCAGGTGCAGGAAATTGACCATGTTTTAATATCTAATTAGGTGATACCATAAACATATTCGAGCCTAGTGTCATAAGGGTCATTGTTAGTGTGGGCTGCTAACCAAGCTACTAAAGGGTAAAATTGAAAAGCCCGCCGGCGACACAATATCGCACAATAGTATCGTTTAGTGGATCGTTTGGTATCGCAGCTTGCTGGCGCGGTGGTCGTCGCAGTCGTCGCTGGACGAGTCGTCGCAGCGCGCGGCGGTGGCGGCGGGCGGCGGGGGCGCGGGGGCGCGGGCGGCGGGGAGGCGGGCCCCGCGCACGCCGCCTCGCTGCTGGCGGCGCTCGGCCAGCTGCGGCGCGGGACCGTGCTCACCGACGTCCTCCTGCACGCGCGGCCCGAGCGCGCGCCCGACCCCGACCCCGCCCCCGCCGCCCCCGCAGCCCCCGCCGCCCCCGCCGCCCCCGCCGCCCCCGCCGCGCCGCCCGTGGCCGCGCACCGCGCCGTGCTGGCCGCCGCCTCGCCCTACTTCCACGCCATGTTCACGCAGTTCGACGAGCGCACGCAGTCCGTCGTCACCATACAGGTCCGCAGACGACCCCTCCTGGTTCTAAACTATGGGCATGATGGATACTTACTTTTTTATCGCTTTCAGAATGTGGAGCCCGAGGCCCTGGAAGCCATAGTGGACTACATCTACATGCCGGAGACCCTCGTCATCACGGAGGACAACGTGCAGGTAATATAATCCGCTAGAGTTCTAACGAAGTCAGTCCATGAATCGTAGTGAATTTTTTTTTAGCTTTGCAGAAGAAGAGGACCGATACTTCCGATATGATGACGATACGGTATTCGTGCTTTCGCATTCCTGTAGATTCAGTTTCTGTTCCATGTATGTACTGATCTAAGCAGTTTAGTAAGATTTTAGGATCGGTGTATCTCGGTGTCCGCAGGCGCTGCTGTCGGCGGCGTCGCTGCTGCAGGTGGGCGGCGTGCGGGCGGCGGCGTGCTCGTTCCTGGCGGCGGCGCTGGCGGCCGACAACGCGCTCGGCATCCGCGCCTTCGCAGACCTCCACGCCTGCGACGAGCTCGCGCACGCCGCCGCGCGCTACGTGCACGACCACTTCCTAGAGGTGCGCCACCACCACCACCGCTCTCTCCTGCTCTACCTCACTTCTAAGCGATCATCTGTTTTCTTATTTTATTTAATGATATTCGACGCCCTCGGTGTACGGCACTTTCGTCGCGACTGCGAGCTATCGTCATAATGAAACGCTCATATTCATGCGTGTAATTATTTATATCGATCTGATATGTTGGGTTTTCGGGTTGTACCGAAATTGTAAATATCTGTGTTAATCGTTTAACTTTCTTTTCGTATATTTATATAATAACGAAGCAACTAACTACAGCTAAATTGTGTTACCCGATATGTAATAGACATTTATTATTATTGTTTTCGGCCTTCAGGTCATGGACACAGAGGAGTTCCTGGCGCTGGAACCGGAAGTATTGGGGCAGCTGCTCGACAGTGACCGCATCATCGTTCCTGATGAGGAGGTCGTCCTCGACGGCGTCGTGCGCTGGATGCAGCACGATCCAGAGGTACGTACATTACTTTCTCGCGCGTCTTTTTTGAAGTTACACTTCTGTGTCGAATACTTTTTCGTGAGCAAAATGTCCTGATTTACTCCGCATTAGGATTTTTTGGTCACGAAATAGGGTCGTTGCAGTGCGAAGGCGATAGACGATATATCGCGTCGTGCAAGAAAGAGAAAGACCGATAGCGGCGTAGAAAAGATAACTACGGTCCGCTAGAATTCGGTCACTGTTTTTTTACGGATAACGTACATGAGGTTTAAGATTCGAAATAATGCGGGCGACCGCGCGAGTGCCGAGGTGCGCTCGGGTGCGTAGACGAAGTAAAAGCAAAATTGTACGTCGGAGCTTCGGTCGCTTGGTGTCGCTTGGTGTCGCGCGGCGTCGCGACGGAGTACGGACGGCGCGTGTGTGTGCAGCGGCGGGCGGGCGCGCTGGGCGCGCTGCTGGAGCACGTGCGGCTGCCGCTGCTGGCCCGCGAGCGGCTGGTGGCGCGCGCCGCCGCCGAGCCGCTGGCCGGCGCCGGGCTGCGGGTCAAGGACCTGCTCATCGAGGCGCTCTCGTACCACCTGGTGCCGGGCGGCGGCGGCGCGCGCAGCCGGCCGCGCCGCCCGCCGCGGCCGCCGCGCGCGCTGCTGGTGGCGGGCGGGCAGGCGCCCAAGGCCATCCGCGGCGCGGAGCTGCTGCCGCTGCCGGCGCCGGGCGCCGCGCGCGCCGCCGCGCCGCCCGCCTGGCGCGCCGCCGCGCCGCTCCCCGCGCGCCGCTGCCGCGCCGGCCTCGCCGCGCTGCCCGGGAAGGTGTACGCCGTCGGAGGATTCAACGGTCAGTATTCACGTACACGCACCAACTTCACCTTCAAACCGAAAATGTACTTAGGAAGAGATTCTCGTTTTGCCATGCCATTCGTTTGTTTGACTAATTCACTCGTTTGACTAATTATCGATTGTGCCCAATACTATTTAAGAATCGCAAATACCTGGCTACATAGATAGTGTCAAATTTGACTCTGAGATTTTAAAACAGACTATGGTTGTCTATTACCCATAGTAGATCACAAGTACGTTAGTTTAAATAAATAAAATCAAGTCAGAAAGACTGCTCTTACCGACGATACTATTTCTGTAATTTTTACTTATAAATTATGGAATAAAATGAGATGAGATCTATTACCGCCGATCGCTCGAGTGGACGGGGTGATCGTCGAGCGAAAGCGAATGAGGTGATCGCGGGGGCGGTGGTCGCAGGCACGCTGCGGGTGCGCAGCGTGGACGTGTACGACGTGGCCACGGACACGTGGAGCTCGGGGCCGCCGCTGGGCGCGCGCCGCTCGACGCTGGGCGTGGCCGTGGTGGGCGGCGTGGTGTACGCGGTGGGCGGGTTCGACGGCGCGGCCGGGCTCAGCTCGGCCGAGGCGCTGCACCCGGGCGCCAGCGCGTGGCGGCCCGTCGCCGACATGAGCACGCGCCGCTCGTCGGTGGGCGTGGCCGTGCTGGAGGGGCTCGTGTACGCGGTGGGCGGCTACGACGGCGCCTCGCGGCAGTGCCTGCAGTCCGTGGAGCGCTACGATCCGGCGCGGGACGCGTGGGAGGCGGCGCCCGCCCTGGCCGCGCGGCGCTCGGGGGCGGGCGTGGGCGCGGCGGGCGGCGCGCTGTACGCGCTGGGCGGCCACGACGGGCCGGCCGTGCGGCGCTCGGTGGAGCGGCTGCGGCCGCCGCCCTGCGCCGCGTGGGCGCCGGCGCCGCCCATGCGCGCCGCGCGCCGCAACGCCGCCGTGGCCGCGCACCAGGGCCGCCTGTACGTGGTGGGCGGCGACGACGGCGCCGCCAACCTGGCCACCGTCGAGGTGTTCGACCCCGCCACCGACGCCTGGACGCAGCTCGAGGCGGACATGTCCGTGGGCCGCTCGTACGCGGGCGTGGCCGTCGTGGACCTGCCGCCCTGATGCGAGCCGGCGCCGCGGCGCCGCACCCCTCCCCCGACGAGCCCCGCGCCCGCAACCCCCTCCGCCCGCCCACCCCGCCCTCCACTATGTCCCGGCTCCGTGCCGCCTTCGACGCCGACTCCGACCCCGAATTCGACCCCGCCCTCGCCCCCGCTCCCGCCCCCGCCCCGGCCCCGGCCCCCGATCCCGACCCCGAACCCGTCCCCGGCCCCTCCGAAGACCGCCCGTCGCTGCGCCCGGAACCCGGGTACGTGACTCATCCCACTATGATATGATATATAATCGGATATGAAATTCGAAAACGAGGATGACCTGTTTGTTCCTGAATTCCAAATCCAACTGAATAACAAATTATTTTTTGTATCTTCATAGATAATGTTACAAAATTATATTAAATTTTCGACATATATGTAATAATAATAATTAGACATACCTAACATTAGACATACCTAGAAATCATAAAACTAACAATGCTTGGAATTTGATAATTACGTTCCTTGGCATATAGTTTCTTGAAATTCACATAAAGAATGTTTCTGGTTGTCGGTTCTGAATGCAGTCAAATATAAGTAAGTAGTATTGTGTGCGACTATATTATATGATAGATACCTTATTCCCAACTGCCTCTGCCCATCAATGTGTCAAGAACACTAGATGATCACCAGCTACGTGACCTTGACGAAAGCCATACTGACGATCAGAAATCAACTGGTTAGCTACGGATCTTACCAATTAGCGGTTGACAATCGACTCCATAGTCTTTGAGAATGGTGATAGCTTTGGGCCCATAGGTAGCCGGATCTCAGCGATCTCCGTTCTTGGGGATCGGGTGAACCCAAGCCAAAGTTTCGGGCCTATACCTGTAGAGTAGCCAGTACCGGAAAAGACGCATTAGTACCAGAGCCAAATCAGGTGCACACGTCCTAAGCCCAATAGGATATCGTCGGGTTCATTCGAGTTGGACGTCTAGGTAGAAAAGGACTTGTTTACCATCTTTTGAGTGAATTTTACTTTAGGCATCGTAGTCTCACACCGTGAGATTGCCTGCGGTGACTGTTGTAGCATGTTGGGCGAACGAATTATGTGCACTCTCAGTGCACTGGTGGAAAATATGGCTTACAAAAAAATTCCTGGGCAGCCCAGGAATTTTTTCAGCAAAAAGCTCGGTATCGTGATGGAAGACTGGTCAAACTCTTACCGATTGCTGATGTGCACAGAAAGAGTTATAGCCATAGCAAAGTCACAGATTTGGGCTATAACTATTACGAAGGATCTGGAAAGGGAGTGATACGTGTACATACTATTAGGGCAAAGGATCACACGACTTAACAGATTCAATCCAGGGACGGGCACATTTTTGCTTACGGCGAAATACCGATGTACTGGAATCGCAATATTAGGATTGAAGTCTACCACCAACAAGGACATGTAATTAAAAATAAATATTGACACGACGTCGCGTCGACGCAACCATCGAAACGCAACCATGAACAGTTCTTCCCGCATTTGCTGTTCCAATTTATTTTCCAGGGCAGGAAATTTCGTCAGGACAGGATATTTGTGTGTCCATAAAGAAAAGAATAGCCGGCCTCGCCGTCTGTAGGTGATGGTACACGGCGTTGAGATTGGAATGAATTTCCGTGATTAGGTATTGGTGAGGGTGGAAGTATTTCCCGGTTCTAGAGGCCCATTCCAGCTACACAACCACATGTTCTCATATTACTTGTAGTATTACTTCGACACGATTAGTGGATTTTTAGTTTCGGAGATAGTAATAAAGAGTTATGTAATGTGTATGTAAATTCACATAATTATGTTACAGGTACGCGAACGTGGCCGCGATCGGGGGCGGGGTTTCGACCTTGAGTGTAACCTGGCGACCGCGGTTCGCGCGCCGCCCACCGCGAGCAGACACGGTACGTGCTCCTCCAGTAGGGGGGACGAGGGGGCGGGAAGGGGGCGACGGGACGGGGTTCCGACGGTGAATGTGATCTGGCGGCCGCGGTACGTGCGGGATAGGGGGAAGGGGGCGACACTGTAACACACATGCGACAAGTTATCTACGTCGGTGCTGGAACGTCGTTTTATATTTCCAACATGTCGTTAACGATGTGTGGTGTTGCAGGTGGCAGCGTCGGTGGACGTGTACGAGTCCGTCAACTTGTTCGGCGGAGCCGGTGCGGGGGCGGCGGGGGCGCTGGCGTTACCGGGGATGGCGGGAATGTCGGGGATGTCAGGGATGTCAGGGATGCAGGGGATGCAGGGGATGCAGGGGCCGGGGATGCAGGGGCCGGGGGGCGGGCCGGGCGGGGCGGGCGCGGGCTACTGGTTTTGGCGCGGCTGCCGGCGCCACGCGCGCTCCTCGCAGACGCTCGAGTTCAACGAGCGCGCGCAACTCCAGGGTGCGTAGCTATCTGTTAGTCGGCTGTTGGTCGTGACGTCGCGGCGAGTGTACACGTGTGTGTGTGTGTGTGCAGGTGTGGGGCCCCGCGTGCGGCCGCCGGGGCGCGGCGGGGGGTACGCGGCGGGCGCGGGGCCCGTGGGGTCGGCGCCGGGGGCGGGGCGGGGGCGGGGCCGGGCGTGCGCATGGCGGCGTCGTGCGGCGCGCTGCACGTGGAGCTGCCGCAGGGCCTGGTGCTGATGCCGCGCTGCCGGCCGACGCCGCCGCAGCCGCCCCCGCCCCCGCCGCCCGCCCCCGCGGAGCCCCGCTCGCCGCCGCCGATGTTCGCCGTGGTCCCGCGGGGCACCTGCGCGTACCACCTGCTGCCGGAGAGCCACCGCGTGCCCCCGCAGCGCTACCAGCCGGTGAGTGCCTCGAGCTGAGTGTGTAAGTAGCCGTTCCCCTGTACGCCCGGGTGAGACTCGTCGTCACAGTTGCAGGGCCGCATGTGCTGCGAGTCGGGCGTGTGGGAGGCGTTCAACGCCCAGGAGGAAGAACGCAACCGCAACCGAGACCGCGACCGCGACCGCGACAACGACAACAACGACGACCGCGACCACCGCGACCAGTAGTGGCGCCGACCGCCGACTGTGCGCAGTGCGGTGCACGTCGTAGTGTAGTGGCGGCCACGTGTTGTGTAGTGGCGGCCACGTGTTGTGTAGTGGCGGCCACGTATCCTGTAGTGGCGGCCACGTGTTGTGTAGTGGCGGCCACGTGTTGTGTAGTGGCGGCCACGTATCCTGTAGTGGCGGCCACGTGTCCTATAGTGGCGGCCACGAATCCTGTAGTGACGGCCACGTGTCCTGTAGTGGCGGCCACGTGTTGTGTAGTGGCGGCCACGTATCCTGTAGTGGCGGCCACGTGTCCTATAGTGGCGGCCACGAATCCTGTAGTGACGGCCACGTGTCCTGTAGTGGCGGCCACGTGTCGTGGTGCGGCGGGAGGTATGTGCACGTGGTGAGGGCCGCAGCCGACGGTGACCGTGCCGCGCACCGCTACCCACTTAGTGTAGTATGTGTATAGACATGTATAAATATATTCATTAATCTTAAAAACGTCAAACGTGTAACTACAGTCGTATTTTAACTATTGAACTATTTTAATTTTCTGTTTAGCTATTGTATACATTTCCAATCTAGCGTCGAACATTTAGTAGTTACAATGTTGTATAGAACTTTAAGTTCCTACAAATGATAAGGTAAGGGTGTTTATACATCCAAAGTGAATCAACAAGTTTTCTTCTAACGAATGTATATAAAACGAGATGTTTGTCATATGAATATGTCATAATAATTATCGTTTCTTTGACAAATATTCTCTATTAAACATAACTTGAATAAGCATTTTGGATTGTATTACTACATACGGAGTAAGAAAATTCATTCGAAAATTGGCCGGTGCTCTTCCTCTGCCCGGCGGGAGCTCGTCGTATGTAATATAAGAGACACCACGCGGAGTGTTGGTGCGTGTTGGTCCCGGCACGCTGCACGCGAGCTGGGACAGCAGCTCCGCCGCTCGTGTTTACGTAGTTTATATTTTTAATACATTGTGATCTGAATCTTAATATGTTATGAACTATTTTTCTATGGTTACCATTGTGATCTATCGTGTAATATGCTGTCGTGTACTAGTAGAACTATTGCCCTTCGAGTCTCGTATTTACGAATCGTAGCCAAATTGTAATGTAAGTAAGTCACTTGATTGTCGATAAATAAATATCCAAGTTGTTTATGTAACACAACAGTTGTTTCATTTCAGTTCGGTGTGTGTCATATTTCCAAGTCAGGATCATTTCCAGGGTCCACATGTTGTAGTTCTTAGTGTTGGTACCTATACCTTACCCACCGTGAGGCAGCTATTATTGAAATTTATTTGACGGCTTCGGTAGTCTAAAGATTCAGCATACCGCCTCACTTCTGATGGTCGCTGGTTCGATTACTCGCACAGTACAAATAATTCCCTTGCACGGTTCAAAACACAAGTATAAAGTGTTTTTTAGGGGTACGGAACTTTGTAATGGGTAAAACAAAGATGAATTATTTAAATTTACATGAAACTTACTTTATTCGTAAGATAATTATCTGGCACTGTAGAATATCCGCCACGGCTGGGTCGGTCGTAGGCTAGAGGTAGAGGTAAAATTATCTATGTATTTATATCAGTTATCTAGTACCCATAACACTTTTAGCTTTAGCTAGCTTAACTTGGGTCTAGATGGCGCTGTGTGAATTGTCCTGAGTTTATTATTATTATTATTATTAAATAACTCTTAGTCTGAACAATACCGGGTCCTTGCTGCCGCCACGAATTAGATTCTCGTGGGCGATATGTGTACACGTGGAACTGTCGGCTGCTAGTTACATACTAATATACTAGCGATAACATGCGACGCTCCGTGTCAGTAATCTATACATATAAATATAATTGGAGTGTCTGTTTGTAATATTGAAATAACCGTTTTTTACTACATGCATGTGAATATAAATACGGTCAAAGCACCAAAAAACCACTTTTTAAAATTTTTGTCTGTCTGTCTGTCGGTCTGTTTTTTCCGGCTAATCTCTGAAATGGCTGAACTGATTTTGACGTGACTTTTTTTGGCAGGTAGATGATGTAATAAGGAGTAACTTAAGGTACTTTTATTTTAGAAAATTCATTTATTTCTTTTAAAAAATAATTTTTAAATTCTCCGCGAACGAAGTCGCGGGAACAGCTAGTGTAACATATTAATAGAGCTGACTGTGATCCAGTCGAATTCAGTGAACTCTTTTATCATTAACAACTAGCAGTGGCCAACATTAACGCCATTTGCATACAGTGGGTACAGTAGCGGCGTGCGAGTGACATACCCAGTTACCCACATTGTTATACAGCGACGCGACGCATTATTGTGAACTTGCCAGAAAGTGTTTCATGTTGAGGAGCTGCCGCAGTCCGCTACTCATTACACTACCAACATCACGCAGATTGTAATCAAGGCATTGGATTAAATATAAGTAGTAAGTATTGTGATGAGTCGCTCATTCCACTCGTAAGTACCCATTCTAAAGATTTAAAAAAAGTATACCATATAATATTACCATATATTGTCAAAGTATGTAGATATATTATATGAGTGGGAAAAGAGCGTAATGAGAAGAGTCACTTAATATTGACCTTAGAAACCTTAATTTTTCTCAGCAATTACAAATCCTTCGGGGCTGGTATTTAGGTATTGGGCTACCGTACAAGTCTGCTTACTGTGCAATACACAATTGCCGCCACATACAATATCACCTCATTACATTTCTTTTAGCAATAAAATCAGTGTTCGAGTAGCATTCAACCAAGGCGAAATCATTTAGCAAAACCCCTCATCAAATAATCAATATATGAACTCATATCATTATCACCGAACTGTGGGCTTAAATCCCCACATTCTTTGGTCTGTCGAGTCTTTGACCTTAAGCAGAAATAAGATTAAAAACCATTAATTTTGTAATCGATTTTAATAATTTTCAAATAAGGTAATAAGAAGCTTGTCTTACAAAAGTAACTTTGACTCAGATTGCACCGAGATCTGGATAATGATGGCGTCCCTGGATGATCAGGGTCAAATAAAATTTAATACAGACGTATAACAAACGTAACTTTCAGTAGGGTACTAGTTAGTGGACATCATATGTCTACCACTCATATGCGTATCGAATATAGTTGTGTCTATTCAAATGCGCAGTGTTTTGGTTGCATACTATTATTGTACCAACTTAAGTAACTTGTATGTAGAAATCAGATTATGAACGACATTAGGTGTAGCATTTCTTAGTGGTAGTTACGGACTGCAGTGGTGCGTGTCGTCGTCGTCAGCTGACTCAACAAACGGCCACCGTCTCCAGCTGGCTGCAGCGCCGCGCCGCCGCCGCGGTCTCGTACTGGCGAGTGCGGTAACCCACTACCGGTGCGCGGCGCGGTGTGCAACCATGTCAAGTGAAGCACGCGACGCGATCAGTCCGCGCGCGATCGTCGCACGCGCAGGGTGACGCTACTGTCGGCCTGTCACTGTCAGTGTAGTGTGCAGTGTGGATAGTGACGAGTGTGGAGTGTAGTGCAGCATCTACACCAGCAGGCACCGTCCGGGGCCGGACGCTGTGGCGCGGCGCGGCGCCAGCGGACACCCCTCTGTTCTGTTCTGTGCTCGCTTGTGAGTAGCGCCGACATTGACCTGCTTTTTATGAATCTTCCTACAGTGACATTGTGTTTATAAGTCGTTTACGTAACGACTGAAATTGCTGTGTACATATTAATGAGTAGGTAATGCAGTCGCTATTATAATATATTTGATGTAGGATCCATTGCGACAGTCTGCTAGCAATGTGTACGGATATTTAAAAATATATACAAACATTTCTTTATAAAATCAGTTCATCTACTTCCTTATTTATAGCGTATGTATCATTATACATACATATATTATTTATTTCATTTATTATAGAGAGTGTGATCTTCAGACCCTCGTGACTTGTGAAACGCAATCTTGTATTCCATCAATAATATATAGAGATATATTATCTTATACATAAAATTCTCGTGTCAGTTTTCGTTCCCATACTCCTCCGAAACGGCTTGACCGATTCTCATGAAATTTTGTGAGCGTATTGAGTAGGTATGAGAATCGGCCAACATCTATTTTTCATCCCCCTAAATGTTAAGGGTAGTCCACCCCAAAAATTTTTTTTTTTTAGACAAAATTTTTAGTTTCTATTTTTTTATGATACAACATACAAAAATACATACAATCCTAAATTTTCACCCTTCTATCATCAACCCCTATTTTTTTTATAGCGTTATTAATTTATATGGCAAAACAACGTTTGCTGGGACAGCTAGTTATATGTATAATTATATTAAGAAACCTCTCCTAAGAAAGGTTAGGAAATACCTATGACATAGGGGAACGGTGATTGTTAGTAATATGGACTGTTGACCCCATTGCTAGCAATGCATGGTACATTGCTAGCAATGGGTCAGGTTGACCTCCATGCGGTTTCCCTGGAAACCATCGTGATAAATTCCTGGTAAATTTGTCATGATGGGCAAACTGACCTGACCTCATAATCGTCGTTTCATTCTCCACTGGTGCCCCCCCAGCATAAATCGTTAGCCCAGTCGGGTACTGGGCTAACGATTTATGCTGGGGGGGCACTATTCCATTATCATCAATAAAAAAAATACCTATGACCTATCTGGTAACAATAATTCTACAATTATTTTAAGTTCGAGTCGGTCCTAATTTCTCTGCCAGCAAGTTCGTTAATTAAGTAGTTTATTTAGCGCGATTGTTACATGTTTGGGTGACTGCTCCAGGAACTTGTATGCCTCACATAGGGTTGCCAACCGTGCTCTAAAACAGAGCATTATACTCTATATCATGTAGGCATACTCTACAATCTAATGCCACTAATAGAGTATGTTAAAATATTCTTATTTTCACAATCTTTGTTATACTCGTGCCAATCATGTAATATTATGCAAATCCTTTATCAGAACCAAAAATAGTCGACTTTTTACCGTAAGATATTAACAACCTTGGTATCACCAATTCCTCGAGCCATATACAGACGTTTCTGATGGCAGCCACTAATGTCATTATGTCAATTTAAAAATGATCTTATTTGTAAGTCTGTGAACTTATTTCTTCTATTAAAAGTTGGCAACCCTATCCTCACACTAACAGTGTATTACTTATGCTATCACAGCACCGGCCATAGAAACTATTACCGTAATTTTTAATATATAAACTTTCCTCTAGAATCTATGTATTAAAAAAACCGCTTCAAAATTCGTTGAGTAGTTTGAAAGATTTAAGCATATATAGGTACAGACAGACAGCGACTTTGTTTTATACTATATAATGATAATAATGATAATGATTCAGATTTGTATCACTTACCTACTACCCATACAGCTTTAGCTAGCTTAACTTGGGACTAGATGGCGCTGTGTGAATTGTCCTGAGATATTATTATTATTCTCTTTGCAACATTTATCTGTGATCAGTCATAACCGTGTTCCTATAGTGTAAACAGAATAGAACTAAATTGACGGATATCATTGTGCGCACTGATGTCATGAATACAGCCGCTATTTCTTAGTAATTCAAAGTGTTTTTAATGGGTTATAATGACAGGATTGGAACGAGCGGACCAGGTCAGGTCACCTATAGTGGTCGATTCACCAGGAATTATGACGGTTTCCATATAGTTCCTGTGTCATGTAGATCTCCTGGAAAACATTGGGTCCCATAACATGAAAACAGCATAGTACTAACTAGTTTATTGTTTTGTATTCTGCACTAAGCCTAATTATGATAAATATAAATATGGACTTTACGAGACTTTTTTGTTGCATATTGTGGATGCATTTATTTTCTCGGGGTGCAACTTTACGCACGCGTTTGTGTTATGTGATCATAATCATAGAACAGCCAAAGATTACAAATTATATTGTTTCAAAGCGAGATTGACAAAATCCTTAAAGAAATTGAGCATAATGTCCACCGTCCCAAAGAAGAAAAACAGAAGTTACTTTTATACTGTCCAAATATTAGTTTTAAGAAAAATTATGTAATAACTTTGACTAAGCACGATGAGGCCTGTTGATTGGCATATTTTCTGAATGCTATTAAAAAAAATTATGTCCCTTTTGTTCGATGTCGACCGAGTACGCGCCGTCACTGCCACTCATGTCAAACTGAGCGCGACATCTCTCTCTGCGACACTCGAGTTTATTTTTTGTTACTTTACATACAAAAGACTTCAACGATCCTTAGTTTTTACAATAATAAATTGGTTCAACTTTACGGAATAATTAGTCTTAAATAAAGTACTTATAATCGTAATTATATAATGTGATCTAATGTAGTGTATACATATATTACATATGTGTACATCACATATCTATAGTATATATCTACTGTTGTTGATGTTTTAGTGTACAATTTTTACTTCGTTAATTTTGCCTCGAACATAATGACTACGACTACTATTGGTATGCATTATTATGACATTGTGTGCGTTTGTGTTGTTGTCAGACGGCGTGCGGCGTGCGAGTGCGGGCGGGCGGCGCGAGGCGCGCGGCGGGCGGCGGTGATGGTGAGCGTGTGAGCGCGCATGAAGAAGTTCGTGCGGACGCGCGGCGCGGAGCCGCACCGCCTGCTCAACGGACACGCGTCCGCTCACAGTCAGTACCCACCCAATACGTATACTCACCGCCTGCTCAACGGACACGCGTCCGCTCACAGTCAGTACCCACCCAATACGTATACTCACCGCCTGCTCAACGGACACGCGCCGGCTCACAGTCAGTACCCACCCCACACATCAGCCCCTACTGCCACCATGCACGCCACACGAATTTCCATTCCTATTGAACATTTCCGCGAATTGGCAAACATAGTGTGAGATGCCCCGCACGACATATGTAGGGTAGTCATTGGAAGAGAAGGACTGAAGATCGTGCCCAGTGGCGTGGACTGCAGTGAGCTGATGATGATGATGATGATGAAATAGGCATCACTGGACTCGTCATTTCACCTCCTCCTTTCCTGCTGCTACTACAATACACGGAACACGCGATACACATAAATAATAGCGGCTCCAATATAGCCGCTAAAGTACCTACTATCAAATAAAAATAGTCGGACTGAGAGTCTGTATTGATAGATCGCGACTTGGGCCAGACTGGAAACACTTGGAAATAGAAATAGAAATAATCTTTATTCAAATATACTTAATATATAAGCACTTTAGTCAAGTATTAATAGTCAAGTTTTTTTATTCTACCGCTCATTCGGAATGCAGACTCATCATAAGAGGACTGACCAATAAACTTATGTGTTGGTCTTTTAAATAAATATTGATTTAATTATATTTACATTAACAAGGATTAGGCATGCGACAATCAACATAGAAACCGCTACGCACTTAATCTCTGTTCAATCAGATAACATTGTCAGCGCTATGAATTTTAAGTTAGATATTTTCTACAAAAACATTATTATCATTTATAAATTCCTCAATTTTATAATAAGCTTTTTTACAAACTACATAAATATTTTGTACGAATGTTTGTACGATACCATGGTGTTGGAGTAACGGTGTTCAGTACGCAGCAGTGCGGTAGTTTATTGCCCAACTTAATAGATAGATTATTATACGGACTCGTTTACATGTAGGTAATTACAAGTAAACTACTTCAATTGTATTGAATGAACAGTGAAAGTTTTCCAAATGCGTACCGCAAGCCGTGGTCGCCGCTCCCTCGGACGGTACACATATCTCACGATTTCCACTCCGCGGTCTGGTACCGTGTGGGTCGTGACTTCGCCTCAGGATGTACCGCCATGAGACACGAACATACCCAAACTTTGTCTATTATTAATTGTATATAATTAATTACTTTTACCGCCTAAAGAACTACTTGTAACTCGTGTGAACTCTTTTAGAGTTACTCATCAAATAAATTATAGAAATAAGGAAAAACGGATAAGGTAAGTGGACAGAAATAAGGGATGCACAGCACGTACTGCGACTGTTGAGCGGGATTCATGAACAGCTGCTGCACTCGATGAACACTAGGTTTAACACAGCCACGCACACAATCAAATGTTACTTATTTTAATATAACGTTAATATATTGTAGTAATTAATTTAAAGTGGAGCGGTCGCGACTAGATGTCACCATTCAGTCTTAACCGCTAGTAGACGAGGCAATTAGGCGTGGAAAAGGGATGAAGATATGGGGAACGATACCATACCACTCGATCTGTTTAAAAATTGCGCGAACATAAATATACTTAGGTCGAAGGAAAAGATCGATAGGTTCCATACTTAAAATTATTACACATTTTACCTACTTTTGTGCTGATCCTACATCGGTTTGCTCTCGTAGACATTAGTGTGATATATAGTACAATAGTTGCGTTGGTGCTGGTGTTACAGTACAGTATAGTACAGTAGAGTGGCATACACCTGTCGGTCGGTCGGTGTAGCGTGCGAGCACATTCCCGCGCGTCTCCGGTACCGTTCACAACGCAAGTAGATACAGCGCGCGGGTCCACCGACGCCGACACATAGCTCTGTTACATTCGTGTTATGAAATAGCAACGCAGTCAACTGTCAACCAAACACATAGGCCATACGTTTTTTCTTTTTTTTTTATGAATACCTAATGCCGTTGGCTGCAGCTGGCCTTTACAGCTTCACCGGACGATAGGGGCGAGTGCAGATGGCACTCCAAACCAAGGAAGGACTTATGGAGCGGCTGAAGACCAACTCCCGCCTGACGGATACGACTTTAGTCTAAGGTGTGCCCTTGGTGCTAGGTTCGAATCTCGGCTCAGGCCGTCGTAATTTCGATCCCCGTTTGAATTGGACGGGGGATCGATCGGAAGGGAACGATATACTTATGCAGCGTAAATACGACGACGCGACGTCTGAACCCAGACTGGTCCATATGCATATATCACGGCGGTGACAATCAATAATACAGCCGACAGATGGTAAACGGTTAGCGCACTTACCATCGCACAGATGGTAAATGTATGGACGCCTGAAACACCAGGGATGTCACTCCTGGTGTTGTGACGCTTAAGAAACCTTGAAAAACGCCACGCTGTAGTCTTTAAAGCAAACCTCGGTGAGTAGTTCATTACATTCACAATGTAAGTGTACGGGGTGTATGGGGGTACGCAACTGATAGCAGTGTTGAATAATACATTAATATATATATATATATATATATATATAGCCAACCTATGAAACATTGAACTATTCTATTTATGATAAAGGTTTCTCACATGATAAACCCTCTCACTTTGGATTATGTGTACAAAAATGTATTTTGATCATCTTTTTTTAGTTAACCGAATGGTGACACCCAATTACTCTTACGACTCCTAATTACTTTTTTACTCTAATTACCTAAAATAGCCTTTATCACAATTAGGTCATAATATAAATTGGACTGAATCACTTGAAAATATTTGTTTTACGCTTGAGTCTTATAATTTCTCAAAGTATAAATTGGTTACAATTTCCACACAATTATATTATATCGTTCTGATTGGAACACACAAGCTGAACCAGGTAGCACAATTGGAACTTCAGAAATTCTACCATCCTCTAGTTTGCAGGACCATCGGGTCAATATCGACTCTGTATACTAATGAAGTAAAATAATTATCGACTGCGGAACTATATGCACGTGTCGACATGCACACTTGGTTGTATACAATGTTAGTAACTATAGATCAAAAGAAAACTTCTCTGTCGATGCACGTAACCGGTAACAGTCATTTAAACCGTCGCGTCGCGTCGTTTCATTGAAATACTAGCGCTGTACAACAGCAATTTGTTCCAATTTATCATTAATGATTAGTGATCATTTATCGAGTGGTTCATTGTTTCTGCAATCTCAAACTGCAACGCGCTACACTCTCGTACTTACTCGTAGCAGCACGCTCGTCGTTTGCGCAGCATCGATGTGTTTTCATTATCAGACGATTTCATATTTTGTATCCGTGAAAAATTTATTAATAAACAATCGGATTAGCTAACGTAATTGCCTACTAATTACTTACACCTATTCATTTTGTAATTGATCGAGCTCTTGTTTGACTTACTACAAAAAAATAAATACCATAATCGGTAAGTCCATAACGGTTTGCAGTCCGCGCGCCTCCAGTTGGCCCCAACGGAGATGTGATCTACTATATAACATATAGCTGTCGCGGGTACAGGTACTTTGTCCGCGTGGAATTTAACTTTATTTTTCTAAAATAAAAGTAGCCTAAGTTACTCCTTATTACGTCAGCTACCAAACAATAAATAATCCCGTCCCGTCCCGTCAAAATCGGTCCAACCATTCCAGTCAACCAGGTTAGACGGAACAAAAAGACAGACAGACAAACATTGTAGAAAATGTTATTTTGATATATGTACCGTATTTATATTCATATGCATGTAGTAAAAAACGGTTATTTCAATATTACAAACAGACACTCCAATTTTATTTATATGTATAGATCATAGTGTTCGCGACGACATCGCTCCACGACTACACTCTATGTGAATTTGTCTATTCTTATGATGATTACTATTTATCGCGTAAAATACTGTTCAAGAAATCTCGTAAAAAAAACTACATACTCGTGCGTAGTAGCAGTAGTACAGAGTAGTAGCAGTAGTAGCAGTAGTAACGGCAGCGGCAGTGAACTCCGACCGTGGTAGTGGTGCTCGGTGCTCGGTGCTCGGTGCTCGGTGCTCGGTGCTCGGTGCTCGGTGCTCGGTGCTCGGTGCTCGGTGCTCGGTGCTCGGTGCTCGGTGCTCGGTGCTCGGTGCTCGGTGCTCGGTGCTCGGTAAGTAGCGCGGTTAGTTTCGAACACGATTAAAATCCGGCGCCGCGCCACTAAAACAAACTCGCAAGAATTTTGTTGATTAGAACTTTCTAGCGAAATCACGAATTTTATTGTGATGTTTACACTGCTCATTGCTCATTCAGACCATTAACATACATACATACAGTCGGGCATTATTAGAAATTTTTTATTATTATTCTTTTCATACGGTTTCTTGGTGCTTGTTATGGTCATTTTTATTTATTTATTTAATGTAGTTTTTATGCATAATTAAAAAAAATGCATTCTGCACTTCTTTTCCATGTAAACCATGTGTGTGCGAAATTTCATACTTCTCCGTCAACGCAAATTTGGAAAAAAAAAACTTTCAACGTGTTTCCTTCACGTATTTCCAAACTACATTGTAGGTATGTCGAATAATGAAATATCATCCATTCTTGTTACACTTCATTATTTTTGAGGAGAGTTTACTGTTTATTGGGAAGAAAATATTAAAAATCCTGAACTTCTCAGTACGACGACGGTAGAAAAAGTGTTATTCATTTATTACAGTTTTGTACTAGCGCTGTAGATCGGCCAACATACTTACGCTCTACTCGCCTTGGTCTCTTATATTGGTCACTTACTACATACATTGGTCATATATGAGCGGCACACGATACCCTGCGGAACCCTGCCAGTGTATATCCCAGACCCACTTTGTCCGTTTTACAATTTCTCTAGTGTAATGTAATCACGTTCAGAAGGCTCTTCGCACGCCTATTAATTGCTCGGTGAGTGGAGGTGGGACGTGGGTACGACACCGACGTTTTATTGACTCTGTAGCGAGTCGTCACGTCACGTCACGTCACGTCACGTCACGTCACGTTACGTGATTCGCCGCCGCCGCCGGCACCCGACAGGCCCGAGCTTCATATTACCTGATTACCTCATCATCCCACGACCCTCCCGCCCCTCCCGCCCCGCACTTGACATTGTCGGCCCAATTACAACTACACGGAATATCAATTGTCTAAAAATTGTTTTAGTGTTGCATAGCACAATCGCCGAGTACGGCTGTAGGTTATATAACATCGCGCTACGACCAATAGGGGCAGAGCTGCAGTGAAAAATACTAGAGTCTCATATGGTACAGGCGAAATAGGCTGTGTCCAGTCATTGCATAATATACATTAAAAGATGAGAGTGCGGTCGTTTTGGGTGATAGAATGAATGGACCACGGATAGAAAATGGTAAACACTTATAATGAAGATACAAGTACAAACAGTAGCAAGACAATAAAAATACGACGATTCTATAAAGAAAATACTGTTAAAATTGGTGGTAGAAAAATAAATCATTACATAGTATTTTATACTATGTAATGATTTACTTTTCTACTACAGACAGCGACAGCGACTTTATTTTATAAAGTCGCTGTCGCTGTCTGTCCGTCCCTATGTATGCCTATATTACATGTACAGCCGTGCGAAGCCGGGGCGAGTAGCTAGTAGCTGGTATATAATAATGTGCAAAGAGTTTGCAACAGTCGTACATATTCACATGTTCGTGTACTATATTGAATTGTGCAAACAATGTTAGTGGACATGTTCGCAAGTGAGCCAGCGCGAGTATGTTGGCGGGTACAGCGGCGCGGCGAGGTCGGCCCTCGACTGTTAGTTAGTTACTCACGCATTATACTGATATATGTACTATAGCATCCATCGACCTTCACAACGGTTTGCCTAAACTATGATTCCATGTTATTTCATACCAAGATAAGATACCACAGTTACTTAGATTACAACTTAATTACTTTTAACAGTTTATGTCAATTCAAAGCATCTGTTAAATCATATTTACTGAGCAAAGCCTATTACTCACTAAACGATTACTTGAATGACGAGCGTGTATGGCAATAGTTTTTTTTTTATTAAATTTATTTGTTTCTCTACTGTTTTTATTATCACATTTTTTTTGTATTATTAATATATTATGTAGTACTTCAGCCGCGATTTGATACGGCCAAAGTTTTAGCATGGCAATAGTTGTTCATGTTCGGGATTTTCATTTAATGTTAGTCATAGACACCTACATAAATATACATTAATATAATAATAATATCTCAGGACAATTCACACAGCGCCATCTAGTCCCAAACTAAGCTTGTGTTATGGGTACTAGACAACTGATATAAATACATGGATTCATTTTTTTGTAAATAAATACATATTATACATAGAAAATACTCAGACCGATACAAACAATCATATCATGAATACAAATGTTTGTACGTGCGAGGAATCGAACCCACGACCATCGGATAGGAAACCGGTGTGCTAAACCACTAGACCACTGAGGCTGTCATTGTAAATACACTGGCTTTACAGTAAATAAATAAAATATTCAATTGAGTTTCTTATCAGTTCTTCTCAATTGGATCTATATACTGAACTATACGGCAGGGAACTAATTATAATATAAAAAAATTGAGGTTCATAAGCGGCTAAACTGACCTACATGTTACTACGTTTTTTGAATTTGAATTCCAGATTCGTGTCTTTTAAATGTACATATTATAATATAAATTATTTTGTATGATGCGAGGTGGAATGACGAACAATCTGACAGCACACATGCTCGTAACACGCACTTGTCTACAATAACACAATACAGAAGTGGCAGCCGAATCCGCCAGCTGTATTATGTTTATATGTGACTGTTAATATCACTACTTAGCACTATGTAACCACTGGGTACAGTTATGTATACAACCACTTGGCAAATGGGGAACACAACCTGACCCTCCAATCTGTTCAAATATTGCTATTCGCGAAGAATACTGAGCCCCTCCGACCGATCCCACGTCCAATTCAATCGGAGATCGATATTACGACGACCTGAGCCGTGGTTCGAATCTCTAGCGGTGACTTCAAACTAAAGTCGTATCCGTCAGGCGGGAGTTGGCCTTCAGCCGCTCCATAAGTCCTTCCGCGGGTTTGGAGTGTCATCTGCACTCGCCCCCTATCGTCCGGTGAAGCTGTAAAGGCCAGCTGCGGCCAACAGCATTAGAGTAGTCCGAAAAAAAAGACTACAAGGAATTTCATTAATAATTATGACGCCTTTACAAGTCTGTAGTGTCTAAGATTCGTTCGTGTTCTGAGAGGCTTCACCAAACGGTTGGTTATTAAAACCGTGACCCCAAATCATATTATCATTACTTAGTATAATTATGTAATATTGTGCTGTCTGTGGTATAATACAAAGTCGCTGTCGCTGTATGTCCGTCCCTATGTATGCTGAAATCTTTAAAACTACCCAACGGATTTTGAAGCGGTTTTTTAATAGATAGAGTGATTCAAGAGGAAGATTTATATACATATATAACGATACATGTACACCCGTGCGAACCGGAGGCGAATAGCTAGTCTATCTATAAATAAAATTGGAGTGTCTGTTTGTTATATTGAAATAATCGTCTTTTACTACATGCATATGAATATAAATATGGTACATACACCAAAATATTTTTTTTTACAATTTTTGTTTGACTGTTTGTTCCGGCTATCTCTGAAATGGCTGGACAAAAAAAAATATCTAATATTTTTTTTGTAATATTCACGTGGACGACGTCGTGGGTACAGCTAGTATAGAATATATAAAGCGATGGTAATAATAGCACACATGGTGTCACGACTTCAATAAACGAAGTATAACATATACCTGCTAATTGGAAACGCAAGTAAAATAAGCTGTCGTAATTGATGTATGTGTTTAATGCATATTAATTGTTACAGATGGTACCAGCGGTGTGGGGGTGGCGGGCAGCGCCCGCGGTCACGGCGACCACCTCTCCACTCTCTCCAGGTACTGGAGCGAGTCGGAGGGCTCCGGCGGCAGCAGGCCTCCGCCGCCGCAGCTGTGGGAGGACGCGCAGTTCCCGGCCACGTGGCGCGCGCTCGGAGACAAGCGCTACGCTGCCGGCGTGCGCTGGATGCGACCACACGTAACTACCAACTACCACTCACACACCCACATCACTACCCACCATCTTAACACCCCCACATCACAATACATTAACCACCCTCAGTGGAGGTATTTAGTTTCTGTAGAAGCGACGCGAGAAGCGAGCTGCTCAGGTGAGGGTACTAGGTTTTTTTTCATGGATGATAATGGAATGGTGCACCCGCCTGTGCTAACGGTGTACACTGGTGGGGCACCAGTGAAGGATTATAAGATGATCACGAGGTCAAGTCAAACAGCCCATCGTGGCAAATTCACCAAGAATTTATCACGATGGTTTCCTGGGAGAACCACATGGAGGTCCACCTTACATGGTACGTGGCTAGCAATGGGATTATTTTATTAGTCCACACTAACGTCCCCTCTTCCCAGGGTCATATGAAATAATGAAACTTTTGTAAATACTACTAGCACTAGCGCCATTTGTGCGTCTAAATACCAACCTACTCTGTTGGCTATTCTGCTCTGTGCCTTTTTTACTTGCTGCGACACATTTATTATTCGTTTTATTAATAAACTATATTTGATAATTGCTGTTTTCTATTATAAAATACAATAGGTTATGGCCCTCTCCTACTTAAGTGAGACTCTGTAGACGAGATCGCGACAAAGTCTCGCTTTAACACACCGGAGCTAAAGTATAAGGAATCGAATCAAATGTTTGCTCCAAATTAAGTTAGGCACGTCCGCACAGGTGGCATGTTAAAGGGGCTGTTGTTTACGCGCTCTACTTGTATACCATATGGTAATATATACGCAACTGTTTCTTTTGTTTTGTAACACGTGTATTTGTAGCTATATAAATATTTTAGTCAATGACACTGTTCCACTTACAGCGCGAACAATCCATTGGTATTGAATCACAACTGTGCTAATTGTACAGTCGTCGGCCGCAGCAGTAGCAGTAGGCAAGTGTGTGTAGCTGGGTAGGTAGGTAAGTAGTGGTAGGTAGTGGTAGGTAATAATAGGTAATGGTAGGTACCAGCGCACCGTGTGTACTCAGTGTTTATCAGTGACTGCAGCCACTGCAGGCGGCCGTCGCCGTCCACACCGGCGATTTTAACAATGTTTGTATTAGATTTACAAACTTAGTTTAAATACTTAACAGGTAGAACACAGTAGTTCCGTATATTTTCACTCGCGGTAATAAACGCACGTGAACCTAGATAAGGTACTGTATCTAGTTTCGGTCCGCGCGTATAACGCGTGTGCCTGGATCCCGTTGCCTCTTTGAGTTTACAACGAGTATTTCAGTCGCCAGTTACAAATATAGTTGTGTGAAGTATTATTTGTTGTATTGTCTGTTATACTGTCAATAACTATAGTATATAATATATTATAATAATAATATCAGGACCATTCATACGGCGCCATGCTCCATCCAAGTTAAACTAGCTAAAGCAAGTTTTAGGTACATAACTGATACAAAAATACATACACAGAATATTATACATAGACAATATCCAGACCGATACAAATAATTATACTCATGAATAGTGAAGTAGGTAGTAACGCCGTGTGTTGTACCGTATATATGTACTGGTCATGGTGGTCAGGTGTCACATCACCATCACCCCGTGTTAAATATAATAAAAATACTTTATACATTTACACTACAATAGAATACATAAATGCGCGTATTCAGCATACGTACGGACGGAGTGATGCCTTTTTTGATTGTACAATAATAGGCGGCGCGGCGGCGGGCGCAGCTCGACCTGCCCGTGCCGGTACTAATATAGTCACAATAAATCGTGCTCCAATCGATATTCATGTCTGCATCGCCGCTCGCGAGCTCTACACTATCATCATAATGCGATATCCATCGATATCCATCGGTGCGCGTGCGCAACGGTACCGCCTTCCGTCGTACTCACCCGCGGCGAGGTACACTCACTCGCCTGTTGGCGCGACTCCGACCGTAACGTACGTCATCACTGCAATTCAATTCAATGTTCATTCACTTTAAATCATTTTATGCTAACAGTACACCAGAGGAATCATTGTCTATTCGGCAAGAATTAACTAAGATTGTTACCGCGTGGCCACCCTAATATAATATCACTAATTACCATTTTTCAATTTCAAATTCAAAATATCTTTATTCATGTAGGTCTATTACAGACTCTTATGATTTGTCAAATCTACCGTCAGTTCGGAATGATTTCGAGATGAGAAGAACTGACAAGAATCTCAGCTCGTATTCTTTTCTATAAATGTTGTACATGTATACAATGATACAGATTGATTTAAATTGAGATTTGTGAGAATAGAGTGACCACCAGCATATGCTATATATGATATAAAACAAAAAGTCTAATTAAGTAATTAAATCATAGTTAAGAAATAAATAGGATTGTACTGTGGGCTATGTATAGAGTATTTATTTATTTATTCTTTTGCACACAAAAATGTATACATGGCTGACTTAATGCCTGATGGCATTCTCTACCAGTCAACAGTCGCGTTGATTAGAGATAATAAGGCGGTGCACTTTAATAATTAATTGAAAGAAAAAAAGAAAAACAAAAATTATAACAAATAGATACATAAAAATAGTACATATATATACAGATACAAATATATAAAAATACTAATATACCAATATAAAATATATTAGTTTATGGATTACATATAAACAATATAAATTTAAACTAAATATATAATAATAAATATTCATATAATCTCATGGAGTTTATATAATATCATATCTCAATAGAAGTTTGGTTGAATACTATTAAAGAAATTTGGAATAATGTTCACGCAAGGACCTCTTCAAGGTAAATTTGGTTTGACATCTTCTAAGGCCAACAGGAAGTGCATTCCAAAGGTTAATGGCAGAAATAGTGAAAGATTGAGATGAGAAATTAGAGCGATGAGAAGGAGTATAAAGCAGGAGATTAGATGAAGAGCGAAGATCATGAGAATGTGATGAACTTAGAAATTGAGTATATCCACGTTTATTTCTACCACACATGAGCAGAAGTCCGTCTTAATAATATTGTGTTATCTAGATATCTCAGGTGGATGGACAACGTGCGCGTGATGGTGGCCGCGGCGTCCGCCTCGTCCACTAATTGAGTGTAACGTAACTGACGTAGCTACAGTCACGCAACACTCCGCAGTTAGTGCACATTCGCGTCGTACTCGCTGAGATCACGGTGTGAATATTATCCTCAGATTAAGTTTATTAGCGCGGCTAGTGCGGTCCCACGTGACCACGTGACGCGTGCGATCGTCGCCGTCCACCGGGACGAGGTTTTTTTTTTAAATTGATAGTAATGGAATGGTGCTCCGCGATAGCGGTTTACACGGGCGGGGTACCGCGGTAGTGGAGGAGGATATGATGAGCGTGAGGTCAGGTCAGTTAGCCCATAATGACAAATGTCACATTGCCAGCAATGGAGTCATGATTTCACATTACTAATAATAATCCGCTTCCCCCACTAGGACGATTGTGTTGTGGCGCTACAGTGGCCATTGTTATTTATCCAGTACAGGACACCATCACAATAAATAAAAAAAAAAAAAATAATCTCAGGACAATTCATATAGCGCCATCTAGACCCAAGTTAGGCTAGCTAAAGCTTGTGTTACGGGTACTACATAACTGATACAAATACATAGATACGTTTTTTCGTAAAGACATACGTATTATACATAGAAAACACCCAGACCGATACAAACAATTACACTCATGAATAAAAATGTTAACACCGTGCGAGGAATCGAACCCACGACCATTGGTACTAAAGCGGTGTGCTACACCGCTAAACCACCGAGGACGTTACAATTGTATTTATTTGATCATTGTCGTTACTAAACTAATAGCACAGATAACATAATCTAATAGTTACATATTGAATTAATTAACTCGTCTCTTTTCCAGAGAATCGTTGCTCATTGTAAATATTTTAAACAAGCCGGCCCGCCTACTCCGCTCCGCCTCAGAATTAAAAATATCAAAGGTTTTTTTAAGTTTAGTTACGCAATACATATTTGAACGCACACTGTTTGACAGATATCGCAGTTTATATGGTAATATAAATTTGTTCTTTTTACTTTTTACTTGCATTTCTTCATATTTTATCACCGTTTAAAACTTATCTGGACTTCCACGAACATTTCAAGATTAAATTTAGCAAAATCGGTTCAGCCGTTCTCGAGTTTTAGCGAGACTAACTAATAGCAATTAATTTTTATATATATAGAATGAGATGAGGCACAATTGACAGTAAGTAGCCAACTTCATCCCGGCTACATCTGAATTCTGTGACCTGGACCAATTTGCCAATAGTTGACGCTAACACATGTATGTTAAGTGGAAAACTAAAGAGTTGCGGTACAAATAATGATAAATATTGTTGTTTTTATCTACATTTAGAGACATTTTAGATTAATATCAAACTACCAACAATTCTACACTCTATTGTTGATATTGTCCCGTTTGTTAAGAAATGTATGGTTGTCTGGCTGTGTGTTCGTGTGTTCGTTTAACAGTAAGTAATTCTACACGATTACCGTTGTACTGAGTCGGTTGTTTTGTTCTGTTGCTTTACATTTTGGTTGTTTTACAATTATATTGTACTGTCCACCATTTGACAGCGTCACCAGTCACGAACAGCGTCTATTTTCATTGCGATATAACGGTGGTGCGACGACTGTTGCCGTCACCGTCGCCGTGCCGCGCCGCGCCGGCTCGCTCTCTCGTTTTGCTGTCAATTGGTACCAATATATTGAGACAGTAACTGTAATCTGTATTGTATAATCATTTATAACCAATCAAAATAATTTATAATAATAATAATGCCAGGACAATTTACACAGCGCTATCTAGACCCAAGTTAAGATGGGTACTAGACAACTGATACAAATACATAGATACTTTTTTTTTCGTAAATACACACATATACAGACAAACCATCATACTCAAGAAATGTTTATACGGTGCAAGGTACTTCCGATGGTCGCGGGTTCGCCGCG